AACATAAGTTTCCTTGAAATCAGGATTAGAACGAAATTTATTCTCCCGAGACCAGAATAGGGATTTTGCCATTTTGCTCGAGTTGCCTAATGTTGACGGATCGTCTGAGAAAGGCAAAGAGACAATATATCTTCCTTCAGGAGTGCGAGAGTGCGTAGATACAAAATGTTTTTCACATTTTTCTTCGGCTAAGGATTGCTTGCTTGTAAGAGGGGGTTCCTCTACAGCCCAAAACTGTTGGATAGAGGTGTGAAGATCCAAACTATTGGTGGTTAAGAGTGTGACTAATCCATGAAATGAATTTTTGCAAGTTGAGGCAACAGGGGTCGATCCTAAGAGCGCATATCCAAAAATGGTGTCAATTGCTACAGGCATATTCTCACCAAGTGACAAAAACTGGCCTTTCACAGAGGAGGCAAAAAGGTCAGCTCCAATTAGAACATCAATAGGAGCGGGTTTATCAAAAGTAGGATCGGCTAACATTAAATGTTGCATCTGTGAGCGAACTTCAGGAGTGATCTTAGCTCGAGGTAAATCTGGAGTGATATTATCCAAAATGAAGACAGGGTGAGAGCTTGCCAATACATATCCACTAAGGGACTGGAGAGTGACATGAGTTAACCCTTTTGTTTTCACCTGAGCAGACGAGATGCCATTAATAAGCGTTTTATTAGCATGAGAGCGCTTAATCCCTAAAGACTGAGCACATCTTTGAGTAATGAAGGTAGACTGAGCAGCAGAATCTAAAACTCCCCTACAAACTAGGGTCTTACCTTCGCTTGATTTTACCACAATTAAAGCAGTGGCAAGAAGAACTGTGTTCTCTGTATTTGTCAAACCAACAAAACCAGATTCATTTTTATTTGAGTCAGAACTTGGAGCTCGTTTGTCTGTGTTACCTTTAGACACATTAGGAGAGGGATTATTTTCAGAATCCATAAAATGCAAAAGAGAGTGATGTTTTCTTTTACACGTAGAACATGTACGCCATGAATTGCATTCCTTTACCTTATGCTTATCGCCAAGACAGTTGGTGCACAAATTTTTGCCTTTAACAAAATTATACATTTCTTGTGAAGTCAATTTAAGAAAACCTTTGCATTGATAGATTTTGTGATCTGCACCTGCGCAAAATGTACAAACAGTGCGAGGAGTTGCAATAAGCGCCGATTTATTTGAGCGCTGAGGGGGTTTTACTTGAGTGTGGTGGCCTAAGGTACCCTTAAGAGATGATCCCACATTAGTAAGATTAGCTGCTTCAAGATTTACACAGTGAGACTCAATGTACTTGGTTAACTCATCTAACTTAGGAGTTACAGAGTTATCACTTCGACTCTGTTCAAAATGATGGCGAAAATCAGAATCAAATTTTCTTAACAAGTGAGAGGTCAAAATTAAATTTTCCTGAGAAATTTCTTCATCTAGAGCTTTAAGTGCTTCAATGTTTTCATTTAAAACAGACAAAAACCTTCTAAGTTGCTTCACTGAGGGATTGTGAAGAACTGGTAAGTCTAACACATTGTTGACATGAAGAGAGATTAGTAATCTTGTATTCTGATACCTTTTAAGTAGAGATTCCCATGCAATAAAATAATTAGCATTAGTCATAGGGATGTTTTTAACAACTGAAAGTGCCTCTCCCTCAAGACAGCTTAACAAATAACTCATTTTTTCAACACCAGAAATACAATCATTTTTATGAATAGTATTTTCAAACAAATTTTTGAACGCCATCCACTTTTCATGTTGACCTGAGAAGGTACCAAGTTGAAGTTTAGGAAGCTGTACACTAACCTTAGTTGTAGCTACTTGGCTGATAGCTGCATTGGAATCATCCAGGTTTGGCTGGCTCGACTGGTTAGAGCTTGGGGAAGGTATCAAGTTCACACACAAAGAGTGAATAGACACATAGAGATCACTTATTTCATCTTGTAATGTTGAAATTGTAGTGATATTTTCACTTTCATCTAATTCCTCAGGTAAAGGCACAGTGCCGAACAACTTATTCACTAATTTGTCAAAATCATTATTTTTGGCTGTAGCGGTGGAATCCAAAAGAGTGAGCTTTGTTATAAGTTGAGGAGTGATAGGTTCCTTTTCGATAGCAAGCACTTTTGCTTCAATTGACTTAAGCCTGGCTAGCACAAGCTCAGATTGCTTCACAAAAGTTGAGAACCTCATTTTGAATAAGTCTTAAATTCAATAAAATTCCAAAATAAAAATAAATGCAGATTAAAATAAGTTTATAATGAGCAAAACTTATTTAAAGACAGCCAGGATTCATTGTATTAAATATTAATATTAGTCAACTTGAAATCAGAGAGAAATATTCAGCCATAGTATAGGCCTATAAAAAGTTTAAGTCCCAGAAAATATCTACCTGCAATTATTTCCAGATAATAAATTTGAAATTCAATAAAACATGTTATTTCAAACACAAACTGTAATTAAATGTTCAATCCGTATTAATAAACATTCTTCTGTCACTTTAATTTAAAAGTGTAAGCAAACAATTGAGGTTATGAAAACATAAACAAAGTCTTGCATAATGACATTTAAGTTTTCATTTCTATCCATCAGCAGCGCTAGTGTTGATCAGCTGTGAAGTTGGTATGACTTCCATGATTTTCTGAATATTCAGCAACAAGAGAGAAACTTGTTTCACATTACAGGGGGGAGAGAGGGGGGCAGACAGGATGCAGCCCGATAATGCACAATAGAGAATAGACAAACTATGCATGAAAATACAGGAGTTGTAGACAGTACAGTCTGAGAACAAAATTTTCTGTCTGGGACAACAAAACTTTATGTGTTATTTCACAAATTACTGCAACAATTTAATAAATTGATAATAATGTGATCAAAAATATTTAATCCTCTTGTTAATGATACTTAATGTTGATGACAGATTTATTCAATTAATTTATTCAGTTCAAATAAATACAAAACTTAATAGTCACAGTAGATTATTTTCCATAGGCTGGGAAACTTCCGGCTCGAAGGACCATGTTAAATATGGTATTAAGAGGTAAAATTGTGAGAAATACCTTTAGATCCTAAAACTGAAGATCCATTAGGGTTTTGGTAGAACAGGAACAAGATGAGCAGAGAAGCGATGGCTCTGGCCAGAGTGACGAGAATCGAAGGACCACAGATGCAAGATGATGTTGAGAAATGACTATTGTTGTGTAGTATGTAATTCTTCACTGATTTAAATTAAAACTCTTCTTCATTAATAAAAAGAAAGCAATTCACTACTCATGAATATTCTGGACTGTACACGAAAATTTACAACACATTTACTTTAAATAAAAATATCTTCTTGGATCCTAGCTTGACACTTGGTACTATAAATTTGGAATCCATATTTAAATGAGAAATGATGAAATAATGCACTTGGAGCGGTAAGAGAGAAAGAGAGATTAAAATATTTAATATGAACTAAACCAAAAGGTAAGCACTGTGTACTGTGAGAGAGGTGAGTCTAAACTGCACTGACTAGTACGAAGTGCTGTAGTGAACTTTGGACAGTGATGTCATCATATCAGCTGTTGTATCCTTTCAATAACTGAACTAAAAACTTGACTTGAATGTTAATACTACTTGATTAATTGTTTATATTTGACTGTATATAGTTCATATGTTATTAAATAAATATTTTATTAAATGTCCTTAGTTGAATTACTAAATATTTAACAGAGCTGTCAGCTGAGGTAAGTCTACTTCAATGTCCAATCCCCTGTATTTTCATACAACAAACTGTATCACGTGTTTGATTCGTATTGTTTTATGTGCTGATAATTATCAGCTGTTTAAATGACCAGCAAGAGGGCCAGCGTGTTTATCTCTGAAACGGAAGATACAAAATATGTATATAGTACAGTATACACATAAATAGCATAGTAAATCTTTGAAATGACATTAAGAATAGAATCCTTTATTTGCCTTATTCTGAAAAGAAGTAATTTAAATAGGGAGTAAAGGCGGGTTTTCCTAGGCGCGGAATCGGCCAGCGGAGAGAGGAACGCGGAGAGCGGACTCCACTTGTCTTAGGCAATTTAATGTTACTGTTTTCCTAGAAGCGGAGCGGAATGCCATGTTAATTTCAATTCCGCTCTCCGCGTTCCTTTCTCCGCTCTCCGCTTCCGCGCCTAGGAAAACCCAGCTTAATCGACACCAAAAGAATATTAATATTCTTTTGGTATTATTAGAATATTAATAAAAATGTCTATCATGCTAAGTAATTACTTAGCATAATAGACATTTTTATTGTCATCCGCGAATTTAGATTGTTGTAAAATATATATTCAATTTTTAATTGCACCCTATTTACAATTCTAAAGTTCACATTTTAGCTAATATCCTACTTAGTGTCTAAGTTTTATTTGATTCTTTTCAATTCAATAACTACTCGATTAAGTTATTTTTTATGTCTTCTGATATATTACGCTATGTGTGAAAATACCTGTAACGTAATCTGGTGTTTTATGGTTTAATTATAACTTTTGCTGTAGTATATCTCATAAAAATAAGAGTTTAATTGTTCTCCAATGCTGAATTCTGGAATACTCCTGCATGCGACTCGGTAAGTGTTTTAAAATTAGTGTTAGCCTAACCGATCGAAGTTTAGCCTAATACTAGTTTTAATATAGTAAAATAAATAAATAAATAAGATAGTAAATTAAAACATTTCATACAGTGAAACGTACGTTACAGGCTTATTAACGGTATTTGTCAGTAAAACGGTTTATCAAGAACAGCGGTTTGGTTATAAGCTCACAATAAACACGTGGTTGTAAAATTTTTATGGTAGAAAAAACATGTAAACCATTATTTGGAATTATATTTCTTAATAATTAATAAATTTGTAAAGTATCCCGGCTTTACTTGGACTGTTGACCTAGTAGTAGGGAAGACGTATCCCACAGCGGGTGGCGGTGGGTGAATTGTGAGTCACCCCCGTTTGCGCACATGTATGCGCAGGTGTTGGTCCATCGACCCCCAACATGGCCACCGAATGTTTGGCGACTTATAAAGTTTTGGTTTTGGGTGATTCAAACGTCGGAAAAACATGCATAGTGCACAGATACTGTGACGAGAAATACTACGATACTTACATTTCCACTATTGGTGAGTGAACATCGTAAGCTTCAACCCTTTTCGTAGCTACAGCTGATGGTATATAGTCAATGCTACAGCTGATCCTGATGTCCTGTCTTTATTAGTTCGGCTTTCTTAGACACCGTTCTAAATTAAGTATTTGTTGAATATTTTAACTGCAAAGTAATACAACAACAACGTTAATTGCAATTGGTAATGTGGTTCTGATATTTCGGACACATGAAAAATAATTTACCTTCAAAAAATAGACACCCGAATCCAACCTTAGGTACTTCACTATTTAGTAATTTGTAATAACCGTTAGCATTAGTACAAACTAATGGGAAAATTAAACAAAGCTTATATGTTTTGTAGGCCCTATATGGATAAGACAATCTGGTTAGTGGTTAGGTCTATTTTTCACAGCTCCCACTGTTACCAACTCAAGATTTCGTGGACTCCTAAACCTCAGTGATAGGGTTATGCAATGTTGTGCAATTTGCCTAATTAACCTCGACGGCCTACACGAATTCGTTATATTTATAAATATTTTTATTGCATAGCATAATTTCGTAATATAATAAAATTTATTATTATTCTATAATTTTGAAGTAATGTATAGAAATGATGCAACTTGTTGCTCACAATCGGAAATAGCAACGCTGCTTATTGAAAATAACGTTCAAATTTTGTAAATGTATTCAACGTATACATACAGTTAATTATTTGCTTAATTTTTGTTTATAGTTCCATGATAACGCTTTATCAGATGGCTCAGATCCCTTACCTTGAAAGCCTATGAGGTGAAGCCATGGTGATTGAGTTTGTGACAACTCAAAAATACATATTTAGGGAGGAAGAATTGTCATATAATAAAATAAAAAAAAAATATTTTCACCACACTATGATGTTTTTGGCTGTACAGTATTACATACGATAATTGGTGGCTGAAAGTTAAGTTTTGCTGGCCATGCCAGCTGTCATCGTAATTTGGGGACCGAGCAGGTTTTTACAGCCCGGGGCCGCAAAATCAGCTGTCCGCTTACTTACTTAAAACATGAATGCATTTTAAATACCGTACACAATCAAAATCCATAGCGTTGCAATAGAATTGTGTTATTGTCATCGTTGCCTAGCAACAACTATTTATTTTTATTTTTGCTGATTCCTCAAATTATTTCTTTGCATAACCTTAAAGTTGTAGTTGTGTTGACTATCAGTGTGCATTATTATAGTGGTGAATAGTGGTAATAGGGTATTAGTGTGGTGAAAAATAGGGTTCGTACCACGGACCGAAATGGTTTTGCAGCTCTCGATCGATTTAAGTTCTCGACTTCGTCTCGAACTTAAAGACTATCTCGAGCCGGCAAAACCTCATTTTCGGCCCTAGGTACGAAATATACTATTATGTGCTATTATAACGTTGGTTGGGTCGTAAAGTCAACTACAAAAATTAATAGGTTTTTTATCAATACTTTAATCAAGTTGAAATAACCATATGTAAGCATTAGAGTAAAAAACTACGTTAATCATATGTTTCCGATCAAACGTGAAAGGGGGAATAATTTGGGATATTTACTGTTCCCAATATTTTTGGGGACTTTTTATAAGTATGTGTAAATATTTAAGATCAAGTGCTAGTTTAAAAAATAAAATGCTAGTATTTGCCTCCAAAAGTAAAATTTATAATATTTACTTCATACAGCTTTTATATTAGAATGTACATCTTGATTCTTGATTGTCCATCCTCTGCGGTATGTCATGTCCCATTAGAATATAAGTTACTGTATGAAATGTCATGACCCTGTTCAAATGGGTCAAGACGTCGCCAACGACTTATAGTTTCTTATTTACTCAGGACTAAAATGTTGGGAAAGAAACAAAACTTAACAACTGGGTAATATTATTATTAGATTGACAATAATATCTCGGTAATATAAGTTTACCTACGACCGTTTTTTAAAGTAGCCGTTTCATTAGAGTTCTTAGAATTGAAAAGTATCTCATAACAGCATTGTTTACATTCATAGCAGCATAATTTTACTCATAACAACACGGGTAACGGATCAATGAGGTTCAAGGATTGAGAGACGAGAAGCAAAATTGTAATGATTCGAAATTCAACTAATCAGCTGTTAAGGCCAATTTAATTGTTGATTGGTGCAATTAGTATTTGATACTATGTTAGGTTGCATCAATGTCAGTGGCAATTAGAGGTTACAAACAAAAACATAACCTCTCTTAGAAGTTATGAGTAGTGATTTTTAGTAATTAAAACACCGTCGTAGGTAAAGTAGTGTACGCAACTCGCGTAAATAGTGTTAACGACACTCGTAGAAGATTTTAAGGCACTCGCCAAGGCTCGTACCTTAACTTTTCTACTCGTGTCGTTAACACTATCTTTACGCAATCGTTGCGAAATAGTAGTTTACGCCACACTACATTATTCAACATAGAATAACAATGGAAAATCATAGCGTAATACTGTACTGCAATGAGTTTTACCGGACACCAATCAGCTGATTATACTGTATTTAGGTGGCAGTGAGTGGTTATAAACAAAAACATAACCATGACTAATGATGTTTAGATCTTTAGTTGGTGGAAATATATAAGGATTTGTAAGGATTTAGCAGTATGGCGTAAACTATCGTACGTAACTCGTCCAAAATGTGTGTACCGGACTCGTATGGTAATCCCGTACTCGACTTCGTCTCGCACGGGAACGACCACACTCGTCCGGTAAACACTTATTTTCAGGACTAGTAACGTAATATACTATTACATGTCTGTCCGTGGTATTTTAGTCCATCTTCTGGCTCAATAATTACACTTTTTCTGGGTAAAAGGTTTTTATCAGTCACAACTGTTGGACATTTCAGGGTGGCAATTCTGTTGTTTTCTTTTATTATTCACTTCAGTTAGTATTTAAAATGCTAAATGTACATCATAAACGTGCGTCAGAAACCTTTGTTTCTTTCCTCTCGCAGTTATAATCTTTTAAATATTTATTATATTTCAAGTAGGTAGAAGTTAATATAAAATAAAATGTAAAAGTTTGTTATGATTTGGTAAACCTAAGATTTTTAATTACTAAACTAAAAGATGTTTGAACTAATTCTATTAAAATGTCTTTCCTCCTTTATTTGTTAATAATAACAATGATAGGGGTCTTGGGCCAAAATCGGAGCGGATCAAAATCTGGTTGATTTAGTAAGTATTGATTTATAAAAATATTAACTGTACCCTAGTGCAATAGGTTTGAACAATTTCTGCAATCGTGGTGAAATCATGAACATTGTCCTCGGTGACGGTGAATTCGTGAACGTTTCCTACATGTATGGCAAAATAATTAACTTCTTGTGCGAATGCGAAAACATCTTCAACATCTCCAGCGATCTTGGCCAAATCGCACAATCTTTCGGAGATCGTGAGAATAAAAGATAAGCTAGAAAATCGAACCCCCTTAAGATGTTTTTTGTGATTATCATCTTCAAAAAATCAAATCAACATCTCTTTATTCCTGTATAAAAAATTATATGAAAACAAAATTGTATCTACAGAAAAATAATAATAATTCCCAAGTAGACTATTCGTCTGTGTTTGGGAAATAAAAAATATCCTATGAGGCCAATAAGTGAGACCACCACCTTTGAGTGCCAACAGCCGGCCGCTGGTAGGGAAATATGGCCCTGATATATGCTGTTTCTATGTGACAGATCAATCATTTTACAATATTGAAAATTTGTATAGTTTTGTCGATAAACTACAGTAAGTAAACTACAGTATTCTTTTAATACATGGGGATCTATGTTAAATTTTATATAATTTATTTTCTAGGTTTTTTTGCTTGATTATTTATGAATGAACATGAATAATAATTTGGAATCATATATTAGTTTCAAAGAAATTAAAGTTTTGTATGGGTATATTCTCCATGAAGAAAATTAAAAACAATTTCAGTTTAATGTTTTCAATAGTATTCAGAATAATATTGGAATTGCACATTATATATCATACTCATTATAAACGTTTCATAAGTTACATTGGAACTTCGTTTTTCATAGGTTGACTTGGGGTTATTTTATGATCCATGACAAATGAAAAACAGAAATAGCATCATAGATTAAACAAGTAGACACTTTTTTAATCTATGGCTAAAACAAGACATACATTTTCATATCTTTTTACAGGAATTGATCTAAAACAGAAAATTGTCTATTTGGATGGAACTCCAATTAAAATGCAAATTTGGTAAGTAAAGGGTTTTCTTTAATAAACTATGATAGTGTAGAATGTTGTCATACTAAACATTTGTAAAATAAATTATTTACATATTAACTTTCTCGGGACTTAACATTTTAAGTGTTTCAGTATTCAATCAAAGATGGTACCCAAGTAGCACAAATTGTTGGCCCAACGGTGGGAAATGGTCGGCAAGGTGGAAATGTTAAAGCCTTGCCAATGTTGGCCCAACGTGAACTTGTAATCTTTGGCCCTACAAAGGAAAGAATGGTCGGGCCTTTGTTGGATTTAAGTATAAAACATTCTAAAACACATTTTAACAAATTGATTTATTTAATAAGAAAATAAATGTTATGGCAGCAGAATATAAGATGGTTTTGGAAAAAAATTGGGTCTATACAGTGGTGGTCCCAGGATTTCATTTAGGGGGGAAGACCACCGGGGGGTCGGGGGGAGGTATGGAATATCCCCCAGAAAAAGGGAGAATTTAAAGCCTAAAAACATATTTTATACGTATTTGAGCTCTAAAATATGCTCAAGCTAATAGTATTTATGTTAGTTGATAAAATATGAAATATTTCGGGGGGGGAGGGATGCATGATCCCCCCCCCCCCCGCTATATAATAAATATAGCAAGCAGAAGATGTTGTGATAGTTGTGATACTATACACAGTGGTGGAACACCTGCTTAACATATAATAATAATAATGCAAATAATTTTTTAAATTAATATTCTTTAACTTATTTTAGCAAATTTTTAATAGTTGAACAATTTAAGGGGAAAGATTAATTAATCTATACCGGTACTCAAATACCAGTATCCTCTCCAACTCTCAGGAAAACAATTTAACTACTTGAAGCCTAAACTGAATCATAGTATCAAAAACATTTTAAGTATTTGCGACCATTGCAACTGGGCTCCTCTTTCACCGCTTGAAAACACATAATATCAACAATCACAGATAGCTCAGAGGTAAGGTAAGAAGCTCATGAATCGAAGGAATCAGGTTCGAGACCCATCTGGTTAAGATATTTTTTCCTAGTTTTTTCAAAATTTGTTTTTATGAACTATTTAATCAATATACCGTACTCAACTGATAAATATGCTTTTCTTACTTAATCTTTATTATTTTGTGTTTTTATATTTAGGCCCCATGGGGTTGGAGCAATGTTTAAAATTGGTTAGTTGTCCAACCGTAAGACTTAGTGCCAAAACATACTGATCTGATGGCCAACCATGGAACCATGGACAGAAACGTAGGGCCAAGAATTTGCCAACAGTTTTTGCTACTTGGGTACATTCTTAATTCGGTTTTAGCCAACTTAAATCTTTAGTTCTAAATAAAAATTAGTCTTTCATACTTTAATCGTAAATGTCACTTTCTAATACTTTTAAATTCATAGTCAGTGCTTCTTTTATAGAATTTGAATAACAGGAACTGCCAGGAGATAAGAACCCGCTTCTGTTGGATTCATCATTCCTAAAATTTCTTTCCCCACAATCATTTTTTAAACCAGATTCTACACTCATTCTTTATCCATATTCTACTCAAAAAATACCCTTAATTATGTTGGCCGCTCTTCAAGAGCTAAACTGCTAAACTGAACAGTACCCTTAATCTAGGGCCAGGCAGACCATCTAGTCTAATTCTACCCCCAACAAAATTACAATTTTAGGCTGCTGAATTAAGAGAAAAACATCCTAAAAATCTATGCTTTGATGTTAAGTATGGAGTTTAAACAATTAAAATTCCGCCAAACTATGCTCTGTCCATTTCAGGGACACGGCAGGTCAAGAAAGGTTCCGCACATTGACTACAGCCTACTACCGAGGGGCTATGGGTATACTACTTATGTATGATGTTACAAGCCTCGATTCCTTCAATAGCCTTCCCTACTGGCTACAAAATATAAAGGAGGTAAACACCCAAATACAAGTAACATATTAATGTTTGAATATTGATGCTCATCTTGTATATGCCCTATTTTTTACATATTCTTTCTCTTGTTTTCACTTTTTATCACCACTAGTTCCATTTACTCCTCACAGGGATATCACAATGACTTTTATTAACAGTATGTTCCAGTTATCCGCACTGTACTAATTTTATTGTGTATATTTTGACAGGTTAGGTGTGAATAAACGTATTGAGATAATTGAAAAATACTGTCCATTTTTAATGAAATGATTCTACTTCATAAACTCATGTACTCTGCTACGTTGACCAAACGTAAAAAAAAAACATTGAGGTGAAAACAAATGGAAGGTACAAAGTCTATTAAAAGATCATTGATCATAAATCTAATTACTAAATTGGATAATTTTATAATCTTGTGTTTACAAATTTACTTTGAACCATTCATGGATAATTTCAATTAATCATCAGAAATTAGTAGAGTGGAAATAAAAACCGGGCTAAGTGCCAAAAAAGTAAAAAAAGTGTCAAAATGTGTGCTATCTGCCAAGCCCAGTACGTTAAAAAGCGGGTTATCTGCAAACAATAGCTCCAAGACGTTTAAACAGTGGCCGCTAGAATGCGTATGGGTCAACTTCATCAGCTGAGGAAATGAAAACCGGGCTATGTGCCAAGCGTCTTTACAACCCATTTTGAGGCTATGCAATGTTCCGGCAGTGTTGGTAGAGGTGTACACGTGAGTTTATACTTAAAATGGGTGACACAGAGTTAGTAGAAGTTAATCCTAAGAAGAGACATCCTAAAAAGCACTCAGTGAATTGGAGTCATGGAAAAAAACTTAAAGAAAAACGTGCAGCTAGAGGCTCTGAAACACATACCCCAGTCTTTGAATGCTATAAACCAAAATGAAAAAAGAGAAGAAACATGACCTTAAGAATATGACACCAGTTCTGAAGGAGGATAACAAAGACTTTTATAGAGAGTTAATTGTAAAATTTTTAGACAGTTATAATAACCGTGTACTGTACTCTTATGTTTTTTTACGGGTTTTATGATGTTTTATGTTAATAAAACTTGGTTTCAATATTATTTTGTTTTATTATTATTTTACATAAGTCTGAAATGATAAAATATTTAGAACCTTTTATGTTTACTGACTCTGCACATACCCCGTTTTATGGGTTTGAAGTATAGGTACTTAGCTCGTTTTTCACCACTATGATTATGGACATACCCCTTGTCTCAAATGTGTAACTTTATATATTTATAAATTTTATTAGTGACTTTTAAAAAGAGTTTTTTCATCAAATTATGATTACTCATCTTTTGTTGTAGCTACTGTAAATAATCTGGTATAAAAAAAATTAACAGTAATGGTTTTATGGATAATATATATTTATATATAATAATATTTATTTATATATTTAATATTATTATATTAATATTATTAATATTTATATATTAATATTATTATATATATAATAATATAATAATATAAAATAATATTTATATATTTTTTCCAATAACTCAAAATAGTTATTTGTGTAACTAGTGGGCAAAGTGGCACTTTGCTGCACATGAGAGCAATGCGGCTCGTGCAGAATGATCTTGAGTGCAGCAAAGGCCTTTTGCACTCGTGTTACACATTATATTTTTCCTACAGTCACTATAAAGCACATAAATAATTAGTCTTTCAAACACTATACAACACGTTTTTAGGTTCAGCTGGCAACACAAATAGGTGCCCTAGAGAAAGTAGTACCCGGTCCGTATCACTCCGCTATTTTTCCTCGGCAAGAAATGTGCTCCGCGACTTGAGAATATAGTTCCGTATGTTTTTGTAATTTGAAGTGGTTTCCGCGCCTAAAAAATGCTTTAAAGGTATTTTCTTGTTTATTAAGATCGTAGGAATGTTGTTTCGTTGGAATCCTGATGTGCGCCAAAGTATAAACCGTACGACAAAGTATAAATATGCAGCAAATAGCAGCTTTCTGTAGGCCTACTATAAACAGTACAAGGAAGCCAACTTTGTCGGGTGACTGTAGGAAAAGATATTTTTGGCACATAGCCCGGTTTTCATTTCCACTCTATTGTTTTCAAGGTATCACCAACTTTTATGAGGTCTGTAGAGTGATAGCATATTCATTCTGATTACAGAATGCCTCTCCCAATGTGGTCAAAGTTTTGGCTGGAAACAAATGTGATAGTGTCAAACAACGAACTGTAGACCCAGAAATTGGGCAAAAGGTATGTGACATTTTGCCATAGTAATGATTTAACTAATAACTAGCCAATAATGTATGGCCAGGGCCTGATAGACGAAGGGTCAGGACACATGTTTCATCATACAGAATATAACAAGGGCCGTAACCTTCTACATGGGGGCATTTAAACTTGATGAAAAGTAAAGCCTAGCCTCTTTTGGTAAAACCTAAGATATACACCTAAGATATGTTATAAAGGGAGTGATCAGAAAAGGTTGTGAGTGCCATACAGTATCACACAATTTTTGTCTGATAATTTGATTTTAAACTTTTCTCCTAATTAAATGACGAACCGTTAACAGAAGACAATTTTTATTTTGTACAAATGTACACTTTTCTCTTATAACCATACTCATACCATAATCATTTACAAGATGGTGAATGTACATTTAAAAATGGTGTTTGGGAAAGGATAATCAAGAATAATTAAAATAATTTATCTAGTCACATCTGGTCAACTGAAGATTCCCTCGAGACATTGTAATATATATAAATTAACTGTGTTGTAGAAGTTAACAGTAGATGGATATAATTGTAACCTAATGTTGTGCTTTGACAGATAGCAGAAAGTTTTGACATGCCTTTCTATGAGGTGTCTTGTAAACATAACATCAACATTGACCAAGTGTTCCTATCTCTTGCACGACTCATTCGGGATCAAACGAGTAAACAGGTCAGTATCGTTAACTTTCATTTCCATAAAAAAAATCCCTTGTGAGATTAGTGGTGGAAACATAAGACTTGAGTTGTGTTTGAGGGAACCAGTCCAGAACACGTTTAAAAACAGCAGTGGGATTTAACCCACACACATATTTTGCAACTATAACTTGTTTAAATGGAAACAAACCTTGATTTTCTTTATAAAACATTGTTATTTAACTATTATAACGCTAAAATTTCACAATAATAATAATACTGTACTAAATAAATACCCCTGCCGCAGAAAACCAGCAGATTAAGCTAATTTCCACTTGTCCGATTGGATTTACACTCTAATATTTTCTCTGATATGTCAGATTTATTCCCTATTGAATAATGTTCTGTTTAACGAGTACAGTACTTAGATTTGCTGCTGCTGGGAAGTAAGAAAATGCTTTTAGTTAAAATATTAATAGTATAGTATAAAATCAATAAATTTGCCAAATTTTATCAAAACATGTACTTTTTCTCATAAGAATATAAATACATTAAAATTTTAAATGTACAGTTTTTTGGAATTTTCTCGCTAACCTTTAACTGTACAACAACACTTTAAAAATGTACAAAGTCTTTTAAAGGATAACTGAATGAAAATTGGAATTTTTCATGTTTTAATGGTCTGAAAAAACTATTTTTTAATGGTTTTCAAACCTCATAAAACACAATTCTTGTTACCCAATCTTGCTCATTTGCTAACTTAATCAACTACAATATTGTGGTATAATTACCTCGTCAAGTAATCCAAATGTTGCTGATGTGAGGTTAAAAACCTACATGTTTCACCGTTAATACAGCATCGTCAGGGTACACATAACATAAAAGACATTACTGTCACACGCACACGTCATAATAAATGAATAAATCGAACATATAGATACGACTACACTTGACAAGGACGGTCCCAGCCCAGGTAGTAGGCCGTATTTTTTAGTGTTAAATCCAATCAGGCAAATGTAAATTTGCTTAGTCTGCAGGTTTGCTGCGGCGGGGGTATTTTAAAAATGGGATAGACTCTGGTGACCTTTAATTCATCTGGAAAGACACCGTAAAGGAGACAGAGATTAAAGCAGTAAGATAGACGTTTAGCTAGATTACCAATAATATGTTTAAGCAAGCTGTTTGACATACAGTAGAACCCCTCATATCCGGCCTTGGTTTTACCGGTCCTCTGTTTATCCGGCCCCTTCCAGGAAGACAATATCAAAATTTTTTTTCTCACAGTTTACAGACATTTAGATGCAGGCACTAGTCTTTGTGACTGCTCAAGTCATAAAATAAATTGTTCTCATTATTTATCTGTTTGTTCATACATTTATTTGCTGAGTCACTATACTCAGTTGAGCTAGTAGGCCTAACCTCTGATCAGTTGGTTGATTATTTCCAAAGTGGGGTTAGTACAGTACAGTACGAGTACATTATTTTTTGTATTTCACAAAATGGTTAAGAATGTTGAATAGAAATGCATGTACCATTTAAGTCCTAATGATCTTTAAGTACAATTTATTGTCATTTTTACCTCCATTTAATAGGTTTTGTTACCTGGAATCATAATATTTGTACATTCATTACTTAATGACTTTAACCTACAAATATTTTTTTTCTTTTTACAAACATGTTTATTTTTCTAAAAATGATCCCAGAACAGAATTAAATTATACTTTTGATTGCATATATTGATTACCTATTATTATTAGGTATGAATTAACATTTTCATAGTAGGTTGGTTTATCCGGCCAAATCGTTATCCGGTCAGGGGCTTGGTCCCGTGGTGGCCGGATATGAGGGGTTCTTCTGTAAGATAAACATCATTACTACTACAGGTTTTTAGTTTTTTTGTGATTTTTATTAGATCATTTAATTTTATTAGATCATTTGAACTGTAAGCATTACTAACAATTTTTATTTTTATGTTTTCAACTGATTCAATAAAAGAGGTATTTAAAATATCGGGAGAAATGTTGGACGTGCCACTGGTTTTAATGACTTCCCAAGCAGTTTTACATTTGTTATTACTTTTTTATATGAGATTTGTTATATTCTACTATAAATTTATACAACTAAGCACTTGTATCTAATCATAAGTACCAAACTTTTCTACTAATAGACCAACCGAATCTTTTGGCAAAATTACTTTAGAAAGAGTTTAAAGCAGGATATTGATTAACAACATTTTTTTCCAAATTCAAAGTCAAATGTAATAGAAGACTATTATGATCAGAGAAGGGGAAATCAAAAACTTACAGCTTATATTTGCATTTACTACAGTTTGTTAATACGTTGTCCAGGCAATTGTTGCCTCGAGTGGGGGAGTGAAGAGGAGTATATTATGAAATTGTTTAGAGAGGTAGTTGTTCTGAGTCAAGTCAAAACTTTTATTAAAGTCTCCTCCTCCTTTGCACGTATAATGTTGCAAAAATGTCCGAGGGAGGGCCCCCCGACCACTCTACCTGCTAGGGAGGAATTCCATACCTCATTGTAAGCCCAGTAATCATATATCCTCGCATTTGCAAAGGACGGCTTTGGTCACCGCATAGTTTACTATCGAGTTCATCCTACCTAAGATTTACCCCCTTCTTTGTCATAAGTTTTGCCTCTGAGGACATCAAAACAAGTAAATTGGGCCCAGGTCCAGATCTTACCATGAAACTTACAATAATAACTTATTCCCTATCTGAGACAAAAAACAAAATTTAGAATATCTAACTGTTTGAATAGTTGATTGCAAGACGGAGAGGTGTAAGAACATAGGCTTATTATGTACTTATGCCTCTCCTGCTTCCTCTTGCAAGCTTTGAAATGTAGAAATTAATAAAAAAAAAGAAATATATTACTATGATTCAAAAATATCAGAGTTTGAAAAACTCTTGCATTGTAAATTTGTAATATATGGGAGGTATTAAATAAAATAATGTAACAAAATAGGATATTTTTGTTATGTCTTGTTTTAGAGTTTTACGTTACTCTAGAAATCTGGAAAATCTAAACATCTTGGTCCAGATGTTGAATTTCAAACTTTAATAAGATTATTAGCATGAAATTCATTTTTTATCAGGGTTATTTGATGTTGTTAAGGTAATTGTTGCTGACATTTCTCATCTTGTATCTAATTCTTACGAATATAAAAGGGTTAAAAGCATTTGAGAAAATGAATAATTTGAAACAGAGTACTGTATTAGGTAATGGATTTATTTAAGGTTTTTTATTTTTTGCAACAATCCTCACTGATGCCAAATTTATTGATTGTAAGCCTACACTTACGGTGCTGTTTACCTTATTTATCACCTTCATTATAATCCATCGTTAACCTCATGAAAAATAAATAGTTTCCAATTGAAAAAACGTGAATATACATGTTTTTTTGTTTGCTTTAATCATAATTATGGATTATTTTGTGTGAAATCAACCATTACTTAACCGTGTAAAAGTTTTGTTTAACCTACAAATTTATTTATTTTTAAAACATGTTTTTTTTGTACATCTACATTCTAATTATTTAGACCCAATAATTATTGGCTAAATCTACTCGTCTATGACAAGTTTGGAATGAATTTGTATGTGCCACATATGGAATGGAATTTGAGTACAATCATAAATTGTTACACCTAACTTGTTGACAGTTTTTTCCAAACTCAACTTCTCAGTCTAGACTCAATTCCTGCCAGATTCACGTTTTATGACTATAGTAGACGAATGTTCTTGTACAGCCTCAACATGACGGGAAAACTAGTTGTGGAAATTTAAAGAATTATCGTAAGCAAGCATGTATTTACTTTTACTCAATTTGCTTTACCCTCCAAACCCATAAACATATTTTATTTTCTTACAACAGGGAACAGTGATTGACAGTGGCCAGGAGGAAGAAAAGGAGAAAGTTGATCTGAACAAACCTCGCCTGGACCAAGCGCTCTGGAGATGCAACTGCTAGCCGCTCTCACTGTGGAACAGACATGATGGGACGTGTTGGTGGAAACAAAGAGCACAACTATGCGAGGCTGAAAAAACGGCACTTTTCTTATATTAAATATTTGTTATTAGGCTGTGGCAACAGCAGATACTAGGGGTATATTGGAGATGTACACGAGAAAACATAAAGCTTATTTTGGACTGTCAAAGGTTTAATACCACAGATGACTGTGTAAGTTTTTGTTGTCATAATGGTTTGGAACCTTATCTTATGAAGGCTCACCTACGACCAGGAAACGGAGCGAGTGCCGTTCTATTCTTTACCGGGGGGGGTCATAAACTGTCAAAACCGTCAGGTAGGCCCGAGTGCCGTTTGACTCCGCAGAGCGTAAGAGTGATTTAGGCGAGGGGTATTGGTGGAAGGGGGTGTATTGGGCAGGATGTAACGGAGACCGGGTACAATTTCTTAACTGGGCTACCCTAATATCGATTGAATTAGTAAACCTTTATAAAAATTTTTCATAATCAGCAAGTTTGGTTAGGTTAGGTTATAGTTTCATTTTATCCCTCAAACAAACAAGTTTAGCTTATCCTGCCCCCCCCCCCCACCCGGTGATCTTTCCACCCCTATACCCGCCGCACCGTGAAACTGGTCACTGATACCACTTGGCTGGCACAGCAATCGCACCGCCAAGCCTCAAGCTGTCAAATGACCCTCGTCAAAGTTTTTTAGGCAATTGGAACTCGGCCCTGCACTCCCTACGACCTTCCTAGTAAATAATGTGGATGTTTCATACTTGAGGACACTGCCTCTATTCAGGGGACGTCCCCCACAAAAATTTTTAAGTTGAGTCATTGTAAAATTATGAAGTAGGGCATAGTTGCTGTTCATAAACTTGTCAGGCTTAGTTTTGCTTTAGGAGTGTTTTTAAAATCAGTTCTATATTGCTGTGCAAAAACTAATGAGATACATTTTGTCCGGCTCAATATTTGTTTTTGTTATTTAAATGTAGTATAATTTTAATGACTTAATTGGATGGTTCAGGAAATAAGTAGACTCGTAGTAAAATGTTAGACACAAGCATACTTATGCGCTTGAACATATTTGGCAATGACAACTATATTTGTATCTCATTTTTGAACAATTCCGCAAAATTCTCTTTGGACAACATTCACCCTTCAATCATTCATGATTACTCAAAATAATTTGATGTGTCATAAAAAAATCTAAATCGCCAAAAATATTCCAGTTGACATCTAAAGAAAATGTCTTCATTATCATCTATTTGCTATGGAATTGATAAAAAATAACTAGCGGTTATAATCATTATAACAATATTAATTTTGTATTTAATTTTTCTGCCATTCAACTAATTTTTATGATACTGTATTTTTGATTAGTTATGAGTTTTTTATTTGTAAACATTACTCAGAATTTTATCCAATTTTGCTTGTTATGAGTTAAGTGTCAAAAAAAACATATCAGTTTTATCTAGGAAAATGCAATCAAAAACAGTAAAAATAATTTGTGATCAAAATCATTTCAAAACTTTTTCTGTGTTAAAACAGTATTGAAGATTTTGATTTAATAGAGCAACATCATGAAAATTTATTACACCAAAGTGTGTGGATGATGTAAAATAATATTGATGTGCTTTTTGAAGATTTAGGATTTAAGAAGAAACCCAATTTTAAATTTCACTTAACAAATAAAAATGCTGTATAAACTAGCTCAGTATTGCATTTGTATTCATGCAGACAATATTTTATCAGTAACTGTTTTACTGTAGACTGTTTTTGTGCTTAGCATACAACGATGCACAGTGCTTATCCAAAGGGATAATATTATATAGGTATAAGCTTAATGGATTGTACATAGATTTTTTCTAACAATTTCAGATGAGAAGTAAACTGTTTATTCCTTGGGTTAAAATAATTTTAAATGATTCATTGTGGATCTAAATTATTTTAAGTGTTCCTAAAATTGTAAAACAAGTTGGGATAAATCTTTAGTGATATTTCAGTTTTTTTTTTCAGATGAAAACAAGAGTATTGCCAGATTCAGATGACAAGCTTTTATAGTTTATTTGATTATTGATAAATAACACAAAAATACTTATTTAACTTCCAGGTATTTAAAATTATTATTAACCGAAATATATTATTTTCATTGTGTTAAAAACACCATTAATGTATAAGGGAACAGTTTCTCGTTAAAGTAAAATTTTTCTTAATTTCAATTACAGATTTGTAAAATGATGTTATGTAAACTATTAAGTTTACATGTAATGATGTAACATCGCTGAACTATTTTTATAGCTTATTACTTGTACGAGGGTGGTTTTTTTTAGTATGGGCCGTTTTGCATCCGCAAAAATAAAGATTTTTAAGCTATCGAATTCTTGCGTTTGGGATAGGGTAAGTGATACGTTTTTTTTACCACAAGAAACATATCCAATGCTGACATTCATCGCCAGATGACTGAAGTTTATGACCCTGATGCAATGATAGCGGGGAAATTGCAGAAATAGGCTAGGGAGTTTAAAAATAGCTGTGAAAACTTTCCATTTTTAGAAGGAATTCTGTTTTTGGTGGGATCCAGACTTCTGACAGAAGACCACAAAGGAAAATGGATATCACAGCCATTTTTACACTCCATAACCCTCCTCACCTTACCCTCATTCAATGCATTAAGGTCATAGCCTTCAGTCATCTGGCGATGAATGACGGCATCGGATATGTTTCTTATAATAAAAAAAATATGGATCATTGACCTTACCTTGCATGTGGGGAGATTTGATAGTTTAATTTATTTTAAAAGCACACAGCAAAGCGTTCATGTGAGCTACAGAGCTGCAAATGGTGTCATTTTCATTCTGTTCACAAATGATGCCATTAAGTGGCGAAGTAGCTCGTTGCGGCGTATAAGCAAACTACAGATTTATTTACAAAATTGACCCTTGCTTAAAAAAACCTCCCTCACAATTAAATTTGTACTGGGAAGGTTAAGATGTAATTGTAATTTTTGTACCTTAAATGTTACCCAGATATTTTCTGGTAATAGTTATTTAAATGTTGAATATTTGTTTTTTTGCTATTTATTACACTATGTTATATTACCATTTACGCTACTTTTGAATTTAATTGTTGGTAATGGTTAATTTATGCTGTTAAAGGAATAATTACGGACGGTGTTAATCAATAATGTCAAACCAGCTGCTGTTTCAGGAAGTGGTTTGATTTAGTAGTGTTTTATTATTTTACATGGTATTTGTGCAATCCTGTTTGATTTAATTTTCCCTAAAATTCTAATCATACACATACTTGTTTTTCAATAAAATATATTTACCAAATACTATTCCTACAAATATAGACAACTTAAGGTAAGGAGGTACTCCTATCCGTTTCCATGATAATGTAAGGTACATCTTCTCAAAACATTATGCATCCAATCAAGATAAAATTATGTACACAGTAGCTTCCGACCTTTATACATACGCTTAGTTTGTCTGATAAACAAACAAAAATGTATTCATAAAAAAATATATAAAAAAAAATATTATTGTTTGAAAATACAAAATTATTTTACTGAATTACAAATACGAATCAGTGTCCTTTGGTTAATACACTTAAAGATCACTTTAATACAAGCTCAAGTACCGTACTGTTTGTAATTTATTTTGTCTATTTCTCAGCAAACATATGAAGTTATGTACTTGAACTTTTAACAGTAAACAAAACTAAATTGCAATTACTGTTTAGGGGTGTAAAAGTTCAGAAATGATTCCTGAAACAGCATAATTTTACTGTTTTGAAAGCACAACGCAATTGGTTAACGTTGCTGAGCTTTGCTGACTTATAACAGGGTTCCATTGGCTTTTGGGACCATTGTGATAAATATATGTTTATGTATAAACAAAAGTTAGTTTTATTTGTAGAAAGCCTATCTACAAAAGTTTAATAAAGTGTTTGATACAGCAGCTAAAACCTACAACCTTTTAAGCCAACATCCAAAGATGATTCCTATGTTTAGTAGACAATGATGACGATGCAAGCTATAGTCGTGGACTGGGTATCTCTGAACCAGAAAAAGGCGACCTACCTACCTCGGCTATTGTAGGGTGGCCTGCCCGGCCGACCGTAATTAATGACGGTTGGCTGCGCTCAACGAAAACAACTACTAGATACCCTATACCAAAAACGTAAATTAAGTTATTTACAAAAGTTAATTATTAATATTCATTATCATATTATGTTTAGTTAAAAAAATATTGATTATTTTGATACTAAATTTGATGTAAATTGGCCAATTTTGACCAATTTGTACCACGAAACCATTGATTTTCTGTTTATATTTCCTTATTTCGTTGTTATTTCATTCATGCAGAAGAAAAGCACCACAACTAAAAACATACAATTATACAGGAGAGCGTTTTAAAGTTTTCATATTAACAGATAAAATCAATTTTTTGGTACTTATTTGTTTATGCTAAAGGAATAACTTATCATAAAAATTCTAATAAATAAGTATATCCTATTTTATTTAGTAAAAGTAGGAAATACAGCTTGTAGATCGCATACAGCAACAACTACATTATTTTCCTTGGTCTCCTGTCTCTAATCATTTTAGAAACAGTTTTTGTATGCTGCTTATTTTTATATTATATTTCACAACCGGTAGGCCTATTTAGTATTAGTTAAATTTTAGCAACAACTTTCACACTGTGCTCTGTTTTAATTTCTGTTATATTGTTTTTTTTGTACTATGTGTCTTTGCATTTTGATCATTTTAACTTAGAATCAGTAGAAATATTGTACAGTGAATTAAGTTAGGTACAGATTATATTAAAATATTTATTTTGGTTATGATTAAATAAAAAATTTATTACAATCATACATAGGTATTTTTATCCCTCCATATACTCACGCTTTGATATGAATTATATTCAATTTACATTGCTTATTAAAAATTAGTCTTTAAAAGAAAATTAGTTCGGCGGTACAAATTGGTCAAAATTGGCCGATTTACATACTGGTATTGGGTACCTAGTAGTTGTTTTCGTTGAGCGCAGCCAAGTGACATAATTAGGGTCGGCCGGGCGGGCCACCCTACAATAGCCGAGGTAGGTAGGTCGCCTTTTCCTGGTTCAGAGATAACCAGTCCACGACACAGCATCCCTAAAACTTTGATAGGCCCTATCATTTTAAAAAACGAAAAATATGTTTTTAAAAGTCAGACGAATCTTGGTAATCCCACCATATGGGATTTAAGAAAGCTGTGGGATTGTAAACTATTACATATTGCTAGAGATTTCAAAATAAAAAACCCAAATAAACCTTAGCCAAGGTAAAATGTCGACAAAGCTGTGCAGTGTAAATGTTTTGGACTTAACAAAATAAACTCAAGTATGGTGATAAATTTTGATTGGAGTGTAAAGTCTGTAAAGCCATAACACATATCATGCTGAGAAAATAATTGATTCACTATGTTGTCATTCCTATTACGAGAGACTGCAGATGACCTATATGTTTAACTGCATAATATATGTGTGGGTGTGTGGTTGTCAAACTTGTGATGTTTTGATTTTTGTATTCTGATCTGATGATGGAACTGCAAGCTCTGAAATGTACATAGTCAATTACCACGTTGTTTGAACTATGATGCAGAAAGGTTAGTAACTTAGAGTATTCTGATGAAAATAAGTATTTATTTGAATTTGAATCAATAAGACCCACCTAAACTTTGGACTGTATGTAAAGAACTGTCTTAAAACAATGGTTAGTTGAAAAGGAAAGGGGTTATTTATATACAGTATATATAACTAGGGAGGGGGGAAATCCAAGGAAAAATACTAAGCACAGTTTACCAACAATTTATATATTGATAACACAAAGTATAATCTCAACATAGAACACTTGAGAAAATAAATGAAAACTATTACATAAAGTATATATGTTTAACTAGTAAATTATGAAACATACTCAAAACAGAATCTTCATATAAAAACAATAAGATAACAATATAAGATTCTTAACAAGAACATTGAGCATTGAGACCTTTGTACAAAATCTGAAAATATTCTACTGCTGTATGATGTCCAGGGAACAAGGTATTCCAAGGATATTATATGGTACTTGGTTCCAGCCAACCACGGGGGCAGTGCATTTCATTCAATCGTTCATTTAATGTAGGCAAATTAAAAAGTATTCTTAAAATGTCAATACCTGCTTAAATTATTGTAATTAGTGTAAAAAGAGACCACTGATGCTTCTGTTTCTGAGCAGCTTCATGCCTAGCAGTCTAGGTTTTCTAAGCCCTGTGCACTGTGTAGCCTACTCAAAAACATAGAATTTAATGTGGCCATTTTCCAAGACCCTTCCTCAGTGCGCTCCTACACAACTGGACAACTTTTTGAACAATTATATACAATTGAAATACAACTTTATTTATTTGTAAATACTTGATTACCAATTCTTTAAAACAAACAAACTAGGGATACTAGGCCCCCACGACCTACCAATACCTACTAGGCCTAGGAATACCAGGGGGAACTAGGGATATTAAAGACCCGGAAGTGTATGTGAATTCTTATTCTCCTTTTCTGATTGATGGTTTTAGAATTTTCTGAGACGGGAATCTTGTGACATTAACATGACCCAAAATTCACAATGCCGCCACAATTGAGGAAGACAACCCTGATGTCACCGAGGTTATGGATGATTCTGGAATCAGCTTCGACTTTTAAATCATGAAGTACAGAGAGTTGACAAGTCTTTTGATGCCCCCAGTACGGTATCAAAGGTTTTTAGACTTAATTTTACAGGAATTGGGCCCAGCTCTATTGTCAAAGGTTCAAATATATTTTGGGTCCAAAGACTCTTCAATATAATCACTAGTTTAGCAGAGTATAAATGAGCGATTAAATAACATTATTTAATTATTTTCTATTAGGGGATTGTGTTGGTCTCTTTTTCAAACACTAACAAACAATTATTTTACACAGGTATTTTACCAGAAGAATGCTTTTTATTTGTGCTTCTGATATTACACACTTTTAATATGTCATGGAATGTACCTCTTTTGAGTCATGTATGGAGGAATCTATGGACTAGTGATGGAAGAGCCGCAAATTGGTGTGGGCAAGCACTATTCCGTATTGGTCACAGGCCTTGATAACATCAGGGTCGTTATTGGAGCCACTGGGTGCGGCGATGTAGCGAGCTCCACTCTGTAAGCAGATATAACTCAAATATTAACACCTGCACATGTGTTTTTTGTGACAAATAAGAACACATAAAGAATGAATAGTTGTATAGAAAAGTGACACTAGAGATCAATTACCTAATATTCGGTTATCCAACCTTCCTTGTTGTTTAACCTTCCCTGTGGAAGTACCATAACAGGGTGTATAATATTTTTAAAATTGAAATTCCAGTTTCAGGTTCTCGCGTCAATATTTCCCACATGAACATTATATAAATTCCTGTGTGAATGTTTAGTTCCAAACCAATTTAATGCAGCTTAAGTACATCAATATATATCACATTTGTATATATATATATAATTGATCCAAAGTTCAGTGAGTTAGTGTTAAAAATATAATAATCCTTATTATAGTAGGTCACGAAAACATTGTATCTCTTGATAGCAGCAAAATCCTGAACACTAGTAGTACGCTTATTCTGCGCGTAACGGAATGAGTGAACGTGAGCACAACAATGGAAAAGTCCACCCGCACTTACCGGTGTCACTGGTGAACACAATGTTATTTGTATGGGAAAATCAACCAAATCTCAGTTAACAACAATCATAACTTCTCATTCATTAATTAACCAAAATCATTGGTAAAATTTGTGGTGGATTTCCAAAAATTATCGATAGGTGGATAGGTTTCTGTATTGTTTCTGTACAAAACGTCTTTTGTAAATTCATCTCTTTAAAATCATACACAACAGTTTAACCAATTAATGTTTGTTTTTAGAAATGTTTCCTTATTTGTTATTAGGCCTATCATAAACAAAAAGAAGCCTAACTGAACTAATCTAACTTAACCTAATTGCCGCAGCACAGTGTAAAAGAGTCTTCTTAAAAAGATCATATGACTTGAATTGAGGTTTAATAAAATACGCCCGCCGCAGCAAACCTGCAGACTAAACGAATTTCAACTTGTCTGATTACATTTTTACTAAAATATTTCCATAAATAAATGAGACATATTTATTCCCAAATTAAATAACATTAGATTTAACATTTAACGAAAATGCTTATTATAAAATACTTCTCAACATTTGAACCTTAATATTTAGTATTACGTTACTTCTCAACAGTTAAAATACACACAGAACTTAATTTTCAATCTTTGGAAAACAAACTTTGTGTAGTTAAATATGAACATGCTAATGCCACACAACAATAAATAACAACATACCAGCCTTGCACGATCAACATTGTCTCTAAAGGGGAAGAAGGCATCAGAAGCAACAGCGACGTTGTCCAACTCTTTCATCCACTGTTGTCTTTGCTCCTTAGTAAGAGGAGGAGGAACTTTCTCAAACATCCCTTTCCAAGTAGCTTCATCCATGTCCTTACCTGAACATAAGTAACTCTTTATTATTTTCAGTTTACCAGTACAGTTAGAGAACCAGTGATGTAGAGAACGATATTATCTTGTAAAAGGAAGCCTTGAAGCATTTAAGTTTAAGAAAGAACTCAAATCAGTACAGGTAGTGAACTGAGAGGGGTAGGCCAGTATAATACAGTAGAGTCCCGTTAGTCCGAAATGGTTGGGACCCATTTCGGATTAAATGTTTTTTTATTTTTTTGAAAGGCACGAGCCCGGGAATGTTTTTGACATTACTTTAGGCTAGACTTAGGGGCTGTAGCATTATCACTTAAATAAAATCCATATGTGATTTGGCGGGATTGGAACCCAGGACGAAAATGAAAAAAATGGCAAAATATTTGCTAAAAATCCTCTATAAAACAAGTCTATCTCGCCCGGGCTAAGCCCAGCTAATATTACTGTAGCTCGGCCGGCCGCTACAGAATACTTTGACCAGGTACAGCTAACTGTGTTAAAAGTTTAATAAAAATAAATAAAAATAAAATTTTTGGTTTTGGATTAAGCAGACTTTTGGATTACCGATGTTCGGATTATCGGGACTCCACTGTACTGCTATAAAAACCAGAGCAGTTACAATATGTACTTTGTTTTAAGAATGTTATAGTATCAACATCAACCATGGAATCAACAGATAGGTGCACTTTTCTTGGCATTCCAGTCATGTTATAAATCAAATGTTTTGATGATTCTAAAATCCACCATTCAAACAGGACTAAGAACAAAAACTAGCTATGTGTCAGTTCTATCTTTTAACGGTTCAAATCCGGTTTGGTTCATGGCCAAAAAAGGTTCTCGGTTATAATAAAAATATTTACACGGCAACATTTTTTTTACACTTGGGAGTTTATTTTAAAATTATTATGCTTCTGTTGGTAGCAGTACTTCCACCTCCACATTCTTTAAAATGACACCATTGAACCTTATATCTTAAGTTTACAGCATGGTTATACATGTCTTGTAAAATAATGCTATGATTAAGAGAAAAAAATTATTTCAGAGATTAACCTCACATTATTAGGCTGTATCAAGTACATGCTATACATATAATTTGAGCTATCTAAACAAAATAATACAGTAGCGTAGTAACAAATAAACCATAGTCTATAAGGAACCAACGCAAAAGGCTCTCTCTCCTCCTTAGTTGAAAATGCTGTCAGTGACAGTGAAATATTCTAATATTTTGTGTATATAGTGTAATGTTTTGTCTATTCTTTACCAGTTTGGACTCTTTCCCATACAGTTAAGGCCATTCTCACCAAACTTTCTTAAAACCTAGACCCTTGTGCTCTATGTTACATCCTTAACACAAAAGACAGTGTGATTTCAGGTCTAAATTACAGGAACATTCTTCAATGAAAATGAAAGCCCATAACTAAAGATTACGCAAATACTCTATGAGTTTTCTATTTTACCTACCAACTGTATCAAGCACATAATTGTCGACTGCATTGGACATTTCTGCCCTCTTAATTCCTTTCTTGAATTCCATCTTTAAAACTTGAGGGTGCTGTCTCATCCACCTGTAGAAAAACAAGTTTATCAAAAGAGTGTTGTAATATAAAAGGAACTTAATAATATCTGAAGCGCTGAATAACATCTGTATATTGAAAACACACATTTTAGGTTTATGTTGGTAAACCAACTTATCAGTTGTAATTACTACATAATTACACTAGCCACCATAACCGTGCTTCACAACAGGAAGAGAGCGCTGAAGAGAATAATTAATTATGTTCTATAGATCTGCTATATGACATTATTTACTAATACATATATGTCCACAATTTTTATGAAACACTAACAAAATAATTTTTTATCACCTCTGGTTTATATCAATTTGGCAATTATAATATTAATTATTAAGTGTATTCATAAGAGTAACATAGCAATTTTGGAGGCTATTGGGGCAGAGTCCTAGGAGAGTATTAAAATTGAAATATGCCTATGTCCATAAGGCCTGTGGTTCATTGGCTCTATTCATGGACAAAATATCAATTGGTCAAGTAGTTTAGTTTTCACGTAATGAACCATCTGACATAGTCCTAACTTTCACATTTATAATTTTGGTTTCGACCATCCAAGTTATCTATCTACATTATTAAATGTCATCATAGTGCACTAAAAATAAAAACACGCAACTCTGTTTCCCAGACATTATTTGGGGAAACAAACATTAAAACACAATACATTTTTGTAAACGTTTTGAAAAAGAAAAAATTAAGTTAATAAATGATGCACTTAAAAAATAAAATCCCCTATTCCCAAAATATCACAAATTATTTATGAAATTAAAAACATAAACATAACTGATAACTGTAAACAATCATACTTTGACAGTTGTTATTGTGTATCAAACTTGTTTGTAAAAAGAAAATTGTGCTGCACTCTGTTGTTAAACCTTGTAACTTTTTAATGTTATTGAACATCAAAGAACCCAACATTTATTTTGTTGAAAAAGCTCTCAATATTTTTTTATTTAAAAAAATATGAATACCATAAGCACATGGGAAACTTTAGAGCCACTGGGTCTGAGCTCAAAAGGATTTTTACACAAGAATAGTCCCATTGGTTAATGGGGAATATAATATATATCATCATGCCAAATTTAAGCCCAATCCGACCAGTAGAATATGTGATCGAGCCCCAAACTAACAAACACACAAACTTTCAGCTTTATAATATCACAGAGTATGATAAAAGTCCTATTGTGACTATTATGAGAAAGAGTGGCTAAAAGAGCCATACATCCTAGAAGCCTATTGCCCAGACATATAAGGCAACCATGTACAGGTGATGCTTTAAAACCCTACATAGTGTAGTTGGCATTATAATTCGATGAAAGTGCCAGCTAAATAACTTATGAAAGGTTGTGTTGTAATGTAAATAATAAAGTTAACAGCTCAGATAGATATTTCCCAATAGTTTTTTTGTCTTTTACATTCCAAAAAAGTTCTTGACATAACAACTTATTACATGACATGGCAATTCATTGGATGCTTTATATTTAAGTTTTTCCCTGACTTGAGCTTGACACAATCAAAAATATCAGGCCCACATACTTTTTTTAATATTTAAATATTCGCTAATATTCACCATAATTTATCATAATATTTTAGATTTTGCAAACTCATAGCACTTTTTACTTTCCAAATAATAATTATGCTCAATCTAGACCTTAAAAAAACTACCCATCAAACCAAACAAAAACTAAGGGGATCCTAGTAAAAAAAAACAGACAATGACGACAAAGTTTGTATAAACTTAACACCACATGTGGATGGATGGATCCATACTAACCAGTTGTCTGCTTTGTCACCCGCAAGTCTTGTGCAGTGAATGCGAGACTGCTGACCTGCTCCGATGCCGATCACTTGGCCATCACGAGCGTAGCACACTGAATTGCTCTGAGTGTATTTGAGAGCAATAGTAGCGACAATCAGGTCTCTTAAAGCAGCCTCAGGAACCTATCAAGAGAGGTCAGATGCAATCATGTTATTATATAAGATAATTATTTGAGAAATATTATTACGTAAAAATAAAATACGTACGAGTCAGCAAAACTACAAGGTAAACGAATTGCCAAATGGTGTTTTGAATTTTGATTTATAAAGGTCAATAGTAGAAGAAAGATTTTAGCTTTGATACACACCAAATAGAAATATAAAGTTGGATGAATTTTTGTATGCTACTACATGCCACATGGACCAAACAGTTTTTATGTTGTAAGCCTACCATAAAATAAAAAGTTTGCTGACTTTGTTGAAGATATATCTACAAACACTCCATCCACATTAATTAGTTAATACAAAATGAGGATCAACCGGGCGGCAGACCAACCGTGGTCAATAGATGTCTCTTAAATTATGCTACATAACCTCAAAATTTGTATAAATTCAAATTGTGTTTCTTCAGTCTAATATGTTGAAATGCACAGTATATTAAACTATTTCTGACCATTTTTATATGCAGTAGGTTACCCCATTATTGTTTTTGAAACACTACAGTTCATTTGAAAAAGACAAATGGAAGGAAAATAGCCATGATAGCCTCAAGGTCAAACTATCTATCTACTTGTACTGACTGCTCATTAAACAAATCTGTGTGCTGTGATTTGCTATGTCACAACAGTTTATGATTGGGTGATTAGTCACCATGGCAACATGTTGAATGTGTAGATGAAAAGAAACCAAAGAAAGAAAGAATAGAAGAACAAAGAGAATGAATAAGTGGTTGTTTTACATTGTTATCTTTATCTTATTTTATGACTGTTGTTATTAATGTAAGACTGTAAGTACTATGATTTTATGCTGTTTATGAGTTATCTAATGTGGTTTTATCGACATTTAGAACAGCATATCCTATGATGACTGCGGTAGCAGTAGTTTACTAGACTTTCTATTGTTCTGTTCTTTACGTGATTTATTGCTGTACAGTGTTTAGCGATTTTTGTTTTGTTTGAGTAAGTGTGATTTTAAATGTTACAGCTTTTATTACGGAACCAAAGTTAATGACTTAACATCACAATTGTGCAATATTATCTGCATTTTGATGATGTAAAATGCAAATTAATTATCACATTAATATCCATTTTACAGTATTAGGCGTTTTTATGGGTTTTCAGTACTGTTGTACCCATGCTGGTTAAACAGTCACTACCACACCGTGGTTTTCAGTTATCCCCCCCGTTACCCCGGATCAAGGTTCTACTGTATGTGGCTTGAAAACCAACGATATCACAAATAAGGATTCTTCGCTTGCATTTTGTTGGTTAAACATTTCTCACATGGAAGAAAATGTAGTGCGTTAAATTGCGTTAATCATTTTTAATGTTCCGGTAACCCATAGAATTGAAATGTGATATACTCAGTTACCTGTATTAATAATCTAAATCGACTCTAGTATAAATAAACTTGAAAATTCCAAGATGTTGGGTAAAAAACCAAGCTCCTTCTCATGGTCTGAATATTTATAAAATAAAACAAACAACTGATTGTTACCAGAGACCTACTAGCCTGTGTGGGTTTTCAAAGGCAGAAAGGTATCAAAGGTATCATTTTGTATGGGTCACATGAGTAAGCTGTAATGGAAGGGGTCGAATATTGTAAAGAGGAAGTGTTTGGCAATGTTGTGTGAGTAGGCTGGTAGTGTTGTTAAACAATAACTTGTTGTGCTGACCTACTGAAGGCTGTTGCTTTAAGTAGGCCACTGCACTTGATCAAGGGGGTCAGTTGCCCGGGGCAAGGTGCCCAGGAGAGTTGGGTGAGTACTGGTTTCTCTATCTTGGGGTTAGGCCCTGTAGTCGGGAGTTTTGTACGGGAAGTTTTGATTTAAGGGGACTGTAAGTTAGTTGGGGTTTTGTGTTTTGTTTTGAAGGAATTCTTTTGGGGATTTATACTTTGATTTGATTAGATTACAAGGGAATAGTTTCACTTCGTTTTTGGGGATTATAAATCTAAGATTCAAGCTACCTCCAGAGCGGTTCTTACCAGGCATTTGTTAGTAGGCTATACTTAAGAGTAACTGTCACTGTATTAAAGCTTGATTACTTTAGACAAATTAAAATCCTATTTGATGAACACAATCTGATTCTCTTATTGAACAGCTACCCAGCTCATAGCATAAAGTAGAATAAGTTTAAAGATTCGGGTTTGCTATAAAGCTACGCTCCCATGTGCGTATGCAGAATAACCTATGAAAAGCGAGGGGGTTTTCTGCATATCACAAAGCCAGTGTACACTGTAATGATAAAAAGCTAAAAATGTATCAGTAAATGTTTTGACTACTCTCGTTGTGATGATCCTTGAATCAATAGAATGATTTCTAAGATAAATTTTTCCAGACCCAAAATAAAAAAGCCTAATTATTAAATGTGCTTAAACCTGTAAACTGACTCTACCCCTTGAATTATATAGGTCTGAAATCATAAAATATAATGTTCCTACAAGCCAAAAGGCTTATTTACCCACTAAAAGTTTTACTAAAGAGATAAACAGTAAGAACAGATGAATTCTTACATCTTTCTTGTTTGTGACAATGTTGGAAAACAGCTTGTTATCTATGACAGCATCGTTTCTACGCTGCTCTAGTGTGAGTCCGAACAAAACTTTGCGCTCCATCAGATCTGGCTCATATTCAGGGTCAATCTGCAAAACACAGTAAGCTCCATTCTTCTTCTTCTTCAGCAGCGCTAGAGCTTCTTCAGAATATCCAGGGGCTATGATTCCATCTGAAACCTGAACAAATTCACTTTAGAAGAAAAGTTTCAAAATAGGTGTCCCTACAGAAAAACAAAAATTTGTAAAATAAGAAACTTAATTTTATAAAAGGTATAATAGTAATTTGCTTTTTAACCCTTTGGGCAGCAAGGGTATCAATGAATGGCTTATATCAATTGAGCTTCAATTTTTGTGCAGTTATGTGTATAGTGATAGCGTACATTCTGTCTTTACTAAAATGTTGTACTCTCCTATGTGATTATTACATTTCCATTTGTATCTGCATTTGCAATACTACACATTTGTATGTGGTATTCAAGCTTATTTTGGCCATGGCTTAATTTGTGAACTAATTTTACAGGTACTATCTTACCTGAAGACAGAATTAAATTTTGGATCTCAAAACAATGTGAGTATTTGGTATATTACGTATTGTAATGGGACTTGTCTGCAAATATTACTTAACATCGTGCAATACCTACTCTTGAACTCGTCAGCACTCAAAGAAACAAATTCAATGAACATTTCAAAATAGTACTTAATGGAAAATAAACTTTCACGCTAAATGAATTTAATTACAACAGTAAACTTAGGTAAAATATGGGAATTATTTGATGGGATTTACCAATCTATTTACCAAGCCATCACTTTCAACAACCTTTTCCATCTATTTTCGGAGTTTGTAAACTTTAATTTAAAATATGACTCGCCATGTAAAAGAAGAAGAAAAAACGAAGAAGAAAAAAAATTTCCAGTTAACAATTAGTTATAGTCATTTTGCTGTCTATAATTCTAAATAAAACCCCTGAAATAACTTTCAATCATGATATCAAAAGTTATATAAATTATTTAATATTTACCTCTCTGGAAATGATTCGAGCAGTGATGGCATCACAAGGGTCTGAGAGGGCAACAAAGTCACCGAAAGAAGACATCCTGTCGGCTCCCCGAGCCCTCGCATAGGCTGTGGCCAGGGGCGTCAACTGATCCCGTAGATCAGCCACCATGCACACCATAGCCTATCAACCAATTGGCAGCTCGTTATGTATGATAACAGTGGGATCAACTACAAAGTCAACTATTGTTTAAATTGTTTACCTTAAGTTAGGGTTCCTAAGCCACAACAAAAACTTCCAGTCATAAAATCTCCCTAGATGTATGGGATGATTTGTTTAAAAAAATGCATAAGTTGGCAGTACTTACAAGAGATTAAGTAAAATGTGCAGGAAACTGGCCTTGTTGGCATTGGCGCGGCCAGAACAAATATATTTTTTTTTATTCACTTTTGTCATTTGCAATGTTTTTTGGCTAAGCTGTTCAATTAACACTCCACTGTATTTGTGTTGATTGCAGGTTTTTTTTGCATCCAACAATAATCTCTCAAATATAGACACTAACCTGTTCAGGAGAGAGAGGAGTAGCAATGGCAGCACCAGCCGGGCTGACATGTTTGAAGCTGGTGGCGGCCGGCTGTCCTAGCGCCTTCCTCAGCTCCTTGACTAGCTGCCATCCATTGAGGGCATCACACAGGTTGATGAAGCCCGGAGACCCGTTCACCACTGCATCGCATAAGGTCGACAGTAAATACAGGGCAAACAAACAACAACAGGTACATGTTTGTTAAAACTATACATGTGTAAAACTATAAACATATTTTGAGCCAACAGTGACTATTTTTGACATGGCCAAAGCAAAACTGGAGTTTGAAAATGAGGATCAAAAAAATACTTTTGATCCTAATAATGAATAGCATTTTACGTCACACTAAACCATGTTAAGCCAACTAACTCACAAAACCAAAATGTTGTTTAAGCCTATATAGTTTTTCTTCATAAGTTAGATGCTAATATTACAGTACTAGAGTACTTTAATCTAGTTATATTGAACTCAATGTGTTTAACTATTCATCTTGTTTCTGATATTTAAAGTTAGATGCAACACATATTACTCTATAGGTCGGCCAGTTAGAAAGCGTCCTCCTCGTAGCATTGGTGCGAGAGAGATATACCAAGCTGTGGGAGGTGGGTGGGTGTCCTGTTACCTCCCCTACATGCGCTAAAAATTTCGCGCAGGTCGTTTTCTAACCGGCCAACCTATACCAACGTGATATATGTTAAATTTACTGATATAATTAAATTTGAATTAGGATTGTCCAAAAATTGGGGTATTTACCTGTTAGAGGCAGTTTGGGCAGAGTTGTGAATAGCTGAGCAGGTTTTTGGTGAGGGTTCATCCCATAGCGAAGGGTCATCTGTGATACACCAGGGCTGTACTGCTTCCTTAAGTAGTCGGATATGGCTAGATCATACTCAGACGTGTGTGTAAAGGCCTTGAGAGCCAACTGCTGTCTGAAAAAAAAAGTGGTCCATTAAAGATAATGTACTGTAAGGCTACAAATGTATGGCATGCCATGTCGGCGGTTCAAGACCCAGTGTTACCACTATAGTGTATAGCTCAAAGTAAAAGTCAAAGTCATCTTTATTGTCACATAATGTTTTTACGATGATCTGGCACAGCCAGACAAAACAGGTGACATTGTTCATCTATCCTAAAATAAACTAGCTTAATGGTAAAAATAAATACATAGTAACAAAAACAAAAATTCACGTTGATTTGTCTTCGAGAAACTTATTTACAGGCCTACTATAATAATTCTTTTCCAACAAAAATTCAACAATCTTTTCTTTAAAAGATACTAATCCTATTATTGATTTGTAGTACCATGGCAAGTTGTTAAAAAATCTTTGACCCATATAAGAAGATGTCCTTTCCACAAGATTTAATCTATGTATAGGATATTGAAAATCTGTATGAAATCTAGTGTTATAATTGTGCTGATTTTTTCACTGTGTAGTTTTCAAAATTTGATTTCACATACAATAAACATTTAAGAATATACAAATTAGGGAGGGTTAGAATCTTTAGATCTATAAAAAGTTGTTTGCAAGGATGTTTTGCGGGTTTAAAAGTCATAATTCTAAGTATTCTTTTTTGAAGTTTAAAAAGTTGATACTAATCAGAGGTAACGCTCCAAAGCTCTATTCCGTACTGTAAAATTGATGAAAATGAGGCGTGATAAATCATTAGTCTTGTGTTTAAATCAACAGGCTAATAAGCTTGTGGCTCGTGACAAATAAGCTGGCACTTGGCCTAGCGCGGGCAGTGTAGGCAGTGTAGTAGGTGGGTGGAAGTAAAGGAAAAGACCGGGCTAAAACATATTCTGCTGACTCTACGGGGTTGACTCTTATGTTTCACGTACTGAGCGCCTTCAGGAGAGTGGCGAGGACAGTTGACGCAACCCGCATGACGGCATATGATGTTTTTGAAATAGATGCTAGTAGTGATCGGTCAAGTGCCAGCTTAGGTGTCACAAGCTGTACAGTGTACCATTATATTATTTATTATATTTATTTATGTATAAATAGAGCTTAATTACATAGTTATTACATTGGTAACGACTAGGGATGGACGGGTCCCGAAATTTCGGGAATTTTTCGGGGAAAAAATATTCCCGACTATCGGGACGGGATTTGGTCCGATCATCGGCGATTTTGCCGCTTCGCGAGTGCAGATGACGCCGTTATTGCGAGCGATAGGTCCGCGAACGTAGGAGACGAAGACATTTCGACGATAGCGCCATGACCGCGGAGTCCTACCGACGATCGCGCCGTGACCGCGGAATCCTACCGACGATCACGCCGTGACCGCGGAGTCATGCCGACGATCATGCCGTGACCGCGGAGTCATACCAACGATCACGACGTGACCGTGTAGTCCTACCGACGATCGCTCCGTGACCGCGAGTCACAAGTTTCTATAGGTACCTGTATATATTGTTACCCATATTTTGGTTTTTATAGATCAGTACCACAAACGGTAAAAATTGATTTTGTATGTCTTTTTTTAGTAACTGCGATACTCAAGACTTTCTTTTTATGCACAGAAAAAATCCCGTCCCGCCCCGTCCCGAAAATCGGGAAGGAAATAAAAATCCCGTCCCGTCCCGAACCAAAAATTCAATCGGACGTCCATCCCTAGTAACGACTGTCTCATGGTAACTTATATTGTTAATTATTTCCAGGATTTTTCTTTTGAACTGGATTACTACCAATGACTTTAAAGAGGTTCAAATGAATAGGGTAAACAATGTACTGTAATTCTACCTTGTTTGAAGAGAAGTGTCTTTGTCTGCAGATGACTCCATCTCCTGGACAACCTTGGCATAGTCTGACGGATCACACACAACTGTCACCCTCTCATGGTTCTTGGCTGCTGCTCGGAGCAAAGTCACCCCACCTGCACATTCAATGTGGAAATGGATTACAAAACTGATACAATGGAGGTTTTTACCACTGATAAGAGGTTGAGTGTGTAAACAAAATTGTATAATTTTAAGAGTTAGTGAGTTGTAATGTTGTAAAGCATGTTATCTCGGAGAAATCCATTTTCTCTGTAACATACTCCACAGTAATCATAAAACAAAAATCATCTCTCTTTTTTATCTCAGGTTGGTTCAAAACCGGCTTGAACCGATTAGGCCTTCAACTTCAGAACTCCATGAATTATTAATTGATTTTAAACATATTTTAACTCAGTCATCTTATCACAAATGAATCACTTATCCATGTGATAATGCTGTGAGCAAACTAGGACTAGCCTGAAGTAATGTGTAAAACAATTCTGGGACAGGACCTAGCATCTTAGGATGTGAAGGTGGGACATGAAAGAAATATTCCTGCCGCAGCAAACCTGCAGACTAAGCGAATTTCCATTGTTCTGATTTTATTTTCACTTAAATCTATTAAATAACACAAGGTTTAATGAGTACCTAGGTTTGCTGCTATAGGGAGGGCAATGCTGTGTGTTTTTTAGTTAAAATAAACTAAAAAACTGAGCTTAGTATAAAATAAACAAATTTGTTAAGTTTGATCAAGATATACGCATAAACAAGCAAACTACAACAGTTTACTTATTCCCCATAAGAATAACATGGGTATTTAAAGTTTACAACTTTTAGAATTTTCTCCGTGACCAATAACCTTACAGAAACGCTTCAATATAGGCTAATATACTAAATTATTTGTTTTTCAAGCTCTTCAAAATAGTTTAGAGGAAAATTAGTTCTAAGCTTGTCTTTCAGGGAACAGCACATGTAGGGTAAGGCCCCTCGCCCACTATACAATTTCGGTCGTACGACACTGTGTCGAAACGACAACATTTCAACAGTGAACCATTGGATCTTAAAAGAGCTCGCCCACTGTACGATAATCTCACGACTACGACAAACTGTCGTAAAGCAGTCGTCCACTGCCACTGTGATACACGACTGTCGTACGACTGTCTAACTCGCAGTGGCGTGTGCGATCAAATGGGCATATGATTTTTTGTCAGATGTCGTGTGTTCTCTTCGCGCTGAGCCTTCTCGCCGTTCACTTCACATGCTTCGTTTTGACTTCTGAGTGACAATGGCATCAACTGAATTGGCGTGTGGGTCGAAAACAGTGCAATCAATTCCTGAAGTGGTAATTGACAATGATGTGTTGATTTCACTAGTGGAAGCTAAACAAGTTCTGTGGGACAAAACTTGAGACGAGTACAAGGACAGAAATGCGACGAAAGAAGCGTGGAAACTAGTTTGCTCTGCTCTGAGAGAGGACTTTCAATAATAGCTAGCCTTTCTTTAGAAGTGATGCAGTTCCTCAGTTTAGTATTTCGGTAAGCAATTGTAGCTTTTATTTTCTGGTGTAATTTATCAAAGGACGCAGCAGACATTCTGAAGTAGTTGAAAAACTAGTTATCATCACGCCGAAGTTCATCAAAAAGAGTTTGAAATGATCCTGTGTGATCCCTACTTTGTTTAATAGGGTGAATCCAATACTTCCGCTTAATCCTACGACGCTTAATTCTGCGCCATAGCAGCCACATAGCAACGGATTCATTGTATGACACAAAAACCACTGTTAAGATATTGCGCAACACACTCGCTCCTCCACGGCTACCGAGCAACTGGTCATTTATCCGATAAAGTGTCGTATAGTGGGCGAGTACCACACATACGATAAGAATATCGTACGACACAGTGTCGTACGACCGAAATCGTATAGTGGGCGAGAGGCCTAAGATTTCAAAGATTTTTTTTTAGTTTCGCTGTTATCCATGAAGTCCATATTGTCCTTTGGGGCTTAAAGGAATTTATTTCACTCAGAAACATCAGAACCGAAAAAGGGAATAAAAATTACAAAAGTGAAATACACTTTGATCTTAGCCAACAGGCCGAGAAGCGATCAATGTCGTGTTATCAATGTCTGAAAGTCGTTTACCTTTTAAATTAGCCAGACAAATAGTAAACAAGAATATTTACTGGTGTAAACATTGGAAGCGTCTGGGAAACAAGCATGGCAGGGAAATAAATTTCGACGTAGACGAGGTTGGCATCCCTGTTCTACAATCACAGCTGATGAGTGTAGTGGAAGGGGAAAGGGCAGCATGGAAAAGTGATTGCGAGGGTCGAGCGCGCACGTCTCTGTATCACCAACAACTCTTATCTATTAACTTCGACCTAAAAGATAAGACATACCTCGCTGACAGATATGACATAACTGTGATGTCCTGGGCGATCAAGGCAAGAGCTGAGCTTATCAACCTCAACTTCAAACCGTGGCTTGTAGACAATTATCACTTGTGCACTCTTTGTAATTTACAAGAGAAAGAAGATGTTTTTCATTTTTTATCTGTTTGTCCCATTTTGAAGTCAATAAGGAAATTTTATTTTGGCTGTCCAATTTTGACACAGGAACAATATATAGAGATATTGAATGGGTGGGATTGGCGGGTCTTAAGCAATTATTTAAAAGATGCTTGGTCTAAAAGATGGGGGTTAATTCAAGAATTCAATCTGTGAGAATCATTTTCCCAAATGTCATTACTTTTAAAATCTTTTTTATTATTATTTATTAGTTTCATTAAATTGTTATTATTAATCAGTTGTTGTACAAGTGCTAACCAGGTACGCCAGCCGCAACAGACGGGCTTTTTGTCCATAGTTGTTAGTGCTAAGAAGTTATTTTTGTTCACTTATTTGTAAATAAAAGCACTTTTTCATTTCATTTAATTTCATTTCATACAAAAGTGAAAAAAATACAGTAGCAGAAACCAATGAAGAAATGTTGAGTTAAAGACAACCAATAAATACTAAATAGTAAATAAATAGTACAGAACTATAATGTACAAACGTCATTATTTAATGACGTCTTGGTACTGTTTTGAATGTTATTATCTACAGTAGTCTCAACTGTTATCTAAGGTCTTAAAGTTAAAGGTTAATCTGGACCAGCACCAAAACATCAAATCTTTATCACCCTTACTATTGGAGAAATTTTTTTTCATTCTAAAGAGGGAAAGTCCGCCTATACTTTGGTTATAAATTTTAAAATCTCGTTGTTCAGACCATTATTTTAAACAACAAATATAGAATTTCCCTTTTAAACACACTCACACAGCGTAGTTTACAAATATAAGAAAAGAGTGTTTTTTTGGCTAATTTGTTTGTCAACGTTGCTGGGTACAAACTAAATGATTGTGTGTATTTTTCGTGAATTTCCCATACAGGGAGTAAGCTATTACTGTAGGTCTCATGGTAAAACCTAAACCGAGGACTAATTATTTTTTGTTTTGATGTCCTTAGAGGATAAAAACACTATCCGCTCATATGTGCCTATTAGCACTCAAGTAAAAATTATTCAATTTTTGTGAGATCCGGTACAAATGTGTAAACGTAAACCTACGTTTATGAACAAGTTTGGGAACCAGCATGATCGGATTAGGGGAACAGGGTAAATCAGGCAAAGATTGTTTTTTTTTCCATTTTCGACCATCAAAATATAAAATATGGCAGTTTATTTCCAAACCATGTTGTTGGAATCATAAAAAAACAAATTATTTAGTATATTGAAGCGTCATTGTACATCTTATCAAGGCCCCACTAGAAAAACAGGCTATGCTGCAGGATCCATGACGTCACACTAGTGGATAGATTTCATTGATAAATTCATTGCCATCACCATTCCCATATGTTTTAGGTAAATAAAAAAGCTGGCTGTTTGTAAGATTTTAATGGTAAGAGTTCTGTACAACTACTGCCTGTGCTGCAGCATGGCCTGTTTTTCTAGTGGGGCCTTGATCTAATGGCAATGAAAAAAAAAAAATGTATATATAAATTTAAAATTTCCATGATAATCTAATGGGGAATAAGTAAACTGTTGTAGTTCACTAATTTATTAATTTATTGTTCCATTAGTTTATGGATTGGATATATTTTGTATTTTTTGTTTGTTTGTATTTTTCAGGTAATTTAATAACAAGTACAATGCTAATCAAGAAGATATATTTTGATCAAGTTTTGGATTTTTTAAATTCCAAATTTAAATAAAAAACACTTTATAACATTTCTTGCGGCAGCAAACCTAAGTGTGCTCACTAAACCTAAGGTTATTTTACATCTAACATGTTTAAGGGAATATTTTATGGTATTTTAAAAAGAAGGCTTCAAGTCAAGATACTCAAAGACTCCAAGCACAGAATCAATTTCTTTATAGATACGATACGCCAAACGTTGTTTCCAGACAACCACCCAACCCCTGAAAGATACTAGACCATTCAAAAGTTCCTGACCTGGCCAACAACACACACCCTAACAGATCATATCATCAGTGTCACATATCCGATAGCAGGAGGTGCAAAATCTGTAAAATAAATCAACCAAGCCAAACATTTTCCAGTTCTATAACCAAAGCAAATTACAACATTTTAAAGCCTGTAATTGAAATTAAATCATTAATAACCATACAAAATAAAATAAATTATCTAAGAGGTGGATTACTAATTTAAATTTTCAGAGGAGTTTAATTCCAAACCAAAGCTATTAATATTTATTTAAGAAAAAACTGTTCCCCCAAAGTTTTAAGCCAAAACTATTTAAAAGAATAATAAATGATAAAGTGTGGTTGATAACTATGGAATGTAACAAATATCATACCAGAATAGCATTGAGCATTGCATCATTTCTGTTGATAAGAAATTATATAACTGTATTATATACATTGGATAGTCTAAATTACCAAACATATTAGACTACCTGTTTACTTAAAATGTAAAACAACAAACTCTTTGAGTGATGAATTCTGTGTTGGCCAAAGTTGGTCTAGTCAACACACTTTTGAACCATAAGACTGATTTTATTTATCAACTTTTGTTATTGTCATTGACCATAATCCCTAATTCTTTTCTAGGCTTAGTATAATCAACACATGCATTAAAGGAACCACAGTTACGGCTACAAACAATTGATAGCCTTTGTTTCTGATTTTTATGGCAAATTATTGAAGGTTAATTAAGACCCTGTTATGTTCAGTCCATTCAAAGTATTGATGACAATTTAAAATTATTCCTTAAAACTGCACTGTTTTTGGTGTTTACTTTATTTCTTGATTCAGTATTTTACAGAAGCTGATTTGAATTTCCAAACACATGTTTGAGTCCTAGATTTGTTATGAACCCTCAACTTGCCTGTTGTTATAGACACATTAAGTACCCTTGACTTGCTTGTTGTTATAGACACATTTAGAACCCTCGACTTGCTTGTTGTTATAGGCACATTAAGTACCCTCGACTTGCTTGTTGTTATAGACACATTAAGAACCCTCGACTTGCTTGTTGTTATAGACACATTAAGTACCCTCGACTAGCTTGTTGTTATAGACACATTAAGAACCCTCGACTTGCTTGTTGTTATAGACACATTAAGAACCCTCGACTTGCTTGTTGTTATAGACACATTAAGAACCCTCGACTTGCTTGTTGTTATAGACACATTAAGAACCCTCGACTTGCTTGTTGTTATAGACACATTAAGTACCCTCGACTTGCTTGTTGTTATAGGCACATTAAGTACCCTCGACTTGCTTGTTGTTATAGGCACATTAAGAACCCTCGACTTGCTTGTTGTTATAGACACATTAAGAACCCTCGACTTGCTTGTTGTTATAGACACATTAAGTACCCTCGACTTGCTTGTTGTTATAGACACATTAAATACCCTCGACTTGCTTGTTGTTATAGACACATTAAGTACCCTCGACTTGCTTGTTGTTACAGACGCTGTTTTGAGAATGGATTTGTTTTGTAATACCGTACTCTGACAAATAACATTATTTTAGTTCAAAAGTGTATTTGTGGTCAAAAACTAATCAATCCAAGTTCTGAATATACTCATACACTAGTGAGAGTTTAGCAAGTATCTTACCAATATCTATGTTCTCTACCGCATCTTCCATAGTGACCGTTGGGCTTGCGACAGTCTCAGAGAAGGGGTAGAGGTTGCACACAACTACACGTACCATCTCATACTGACGTTGCTTCATATCGGCCACATCACTCTCATTCAGCCTTGATAAGATACCTGTGAACAGAGTATTACATTGTGTTGTGAGAAAGAAAGATCATCTCATAATACAAGCAGATGGTAGGCCAGATTATAAGCCTTCGTGGGATGAAAACTTGAAAAGCGTAGTCCAATCACATGATATTTCTGACACTTAACCTAAGTTACTCAAACATAAAACAATGACAAAGGATGAGATAACCAAATCCATTACATAAACAAAAGTCAAGAAAACATATTAAGAAAATACACTGACACACACTCACATCAGCAATTGCACAAAACACTGAAACCTAGGATACACCGGCTGACAACATTATGCTCCAAGCACCCATTTTTTTAAAGATTTATTTGTCTGGATCCAATGAAATGCCTATATCAAATCTTTATATGTACACTTTTTACCAACTAGCTAAAACATAGTTTAGCTATCAAACTAAATTTTAAAATAAAAAGTAAAAATATAAATTTCTTTTTGTCAAAATTTTGTTACAAAGAAAAATTATAATTGAGTACCTGCGTGGACAGCAGGATGGAGAGTTTTGACTCTTCCTCCTAGCATTTCCGGCGCATTAGTAATCTCTGATACATCCTTGACTTGGAGTCCAGCGTTGCGGAGATTCTTGGCTGTCCCTCCAGAAGCAACGAGAGTCAAGCCTAGTTGGGACAGTTTGGTAGCCAGAGGAAGCAATCCTGTCTTATCAGACACACTCAGAACCGCTGTAACATAACACCCATAAATAGTGTTTACCTTATCAAGTAATGTAGTAAAACAAAGACATGTAATGACTATCACATTAAACCTAGATGCGGTTCTATTGGGAGGGCTCGTGGCGAGAGATGATCCAGGATGTTACCACAATTCTGGTGTAAACAGATTTAAATAACCAGTTACCAGTATTTTTAGTGGGAATAAATTCTTATGTAGTAGACCCCCTCGTAATCAACCCTAACAAAATTGGAGCTAGCTTGGAGAATCTTGCGGTCTCGGCGATACGATAATCGTCACTCGCAATCCCGGCCTTGTTACTGTCCAAAACGATCCTTTGTAGTTCGTTATGACTACGGCTGTTATATAATTTTAAAAGCCATTGGTTGAGAATATTAAAAAAGAATACTATACTAAGACTGTACCGGTAGCTAAATAAAAATAATTGTTTATTACCTGTATGTTTTTAGAAGAAAAAACATCCTATAAATATGAGCAATTATGGCAAATGGTGGGGGGATAAGATTATGGTAGAGAGGCCTACTAATGGGCCTATTTTACATTGACATGTTTGTTTGTTGTACTGTAGTTGTAATGGTACTAGTTTTTAGTAACTTAAGGGGCCTCGCTCTGAATGTTTGAGCTGGGCCCCGCATTACCTAAGGCCAGCCCTGCAAGAAGAAGAGTTATACAAATATCTATACAATAAGATTTGTAGGATTAAAATTCTGTGAAGGTAATATTTTATTATATACTATTTACATACCTAATGTTCCTTTAGACGACATTTCCAATGTATTTTGCGATAACCTGAAAAAATAAAATTCCCATTTAGCGTTTTACTCTATAGTCCTCTATTTCAGTTGTTATAGTGAGTGTTTGGCCTAACACTTCTAGACTTGAACAGGACAAAAAAAAAATAAAAAAAATATTTAGAAGGCTATTTATTGTTGATTTGAAATAACTGTCTAATGGTAAAAAACGGTAAGCCTAGAAGTGCCAGTTGCATTTCTTGTACGAGATTCAGGCCACTGCGCAAGCTTTTGCAGGAGTGAACTCTGATCTGGGGAGAGTAAGTGAATGGTCACGCAAACATGGTTTGAAATTGAACGCTGACAAATGCACTGTTCTTCATATTGCTCCACCCACTACTCTTCACAGAGTTGCAAATGGAGACATGCAAGTTCAACTCACAGGAAACCCTTTAATGGTGAGAGATACTGTCAAGACGTTGGGTGTGGTACTTGACAGTGGCCTCACATTCTCGGACCATATCACTTATGTTTCCCAGGTGGCTTTGGGAAGGTTGCGTGGTCTGTACCGGTACAAAAACATCCTGCCAGAGACAGCCAAGCTGCAGCTGGTACAGTCACTAGTGTTGTCAGTGCTCCATTACTGTCTCCCTGCATTCGGAAACAGCATCTCAAGGGAAGAGATGTCCCGTTTGCAAAAAGTGCAGAACTCCGCCGTTTGTTTCGTTTACGGTATCCGTAAGCGTGAACGCGTATCCCCATTCCGGGATGCTGCGGGGTTGCTGTCAATGGGTGCCGTGTGCAGGGCGCAGACTTGTAGCCTCATCCACCGGGTCTTGGTTCAGCAAGAGCCTAAGTACCTGGTGGAAAGGCTTGTGGCACGGGGGGAGATGACCCAACGCGAGACCCGGCACAACGCCTTGCTCCACTTTCAAAAAGTGCGCCTGGAAGTGGGTAGGAAGGGGTTTTCATACTTTGGCCCAAAGATTTACAATGATCTCCCCTTGGACCTAAAACAGCTGGGGGTCCTGGCTTTTAAAAGAAACTTAAAAAAACGTATTAATATTGTAAAATAGTTGTATATAATATATACAACTATTTTACATTATTAATACATTTTTAAACTAGGCCTAGTTCTTTTTCGGACACCCGGTAGGCCTATATTAGGTCATTTTTAAAAGCTAGGTTTATTCAAACTAAGAATAAAAATAAAAAAAAATTTATATTTTTATTTTTAATCACACGATCTTGTATTATACACAATGTCTTGTATTATAATAGTATTGTATTTTTAGTTAGTTTTGACCTTAGTTACTCTGTAAAACAGTAATATTTGTACTGAGAGACGCTCGGAAATAAAGGCATTTTTATTTATTTATTTATAGATGTGAAATCAAATCAATCCTAAAATTCTTAGTTTGAATAAACCTAGCTTTTAAAAATGACCTAATATAGGCCTACCTGGCCTAACCTAATATAGGCCTGAAGTTGGTAGTTGTAGTTATTTATCACACACCTGATGCTGATGGAAATATTTTTTTAGAGACTTTAGATAGCATACTTAATTTTTTTAACCAACCAAAATGGTTCTCGTATACTTTTGTTTTTGGGGGTGACTTTAACTCAAAATTTGATATTACGCAGTTTAGCAACTCAAGTGAACGTTTTGTTAAGTTGTTAAAAGAATACAACTTTTATTGCTCCAATTACCAACCTACCCGGGAGAAATCATGTTTGGACAATGTTTTCTCTAATGCAAAGAGGGATGACTGTTATTCTGAGGTTCAACCTTGCTACTACTCCGATCATTCGATGCTGTGGTTTCGCCTGGTACAAGACTCGACGGAGCGGGGGAGTCAGACGGAGGAAAACATACCCATCTACAGGAGGAATCTTTCCGAAGCAAACATGGTAACCTTCAAGCATGAACTTTCTCTGATTAACTGGGAGGAATTGTATGAATTAGTTGTTAATGATTTTAATCTAGCATTAAGTAATATGGGCTGTGATAATAAAATTAGTTTTGCTGACATGTATTTTGAATATTTTTTTAACGCTTTTAACTTAGTTTTTCAGAATTCTTTTCCATTGCAAATGTGTAGGCCTAAGCATAGTTCCAACAAACATAAAGATTTCAAAAAGCCTTGGTATAGTGAAGATCTTGCTAAATTAAAATATGAAATTAATGTTGCTCTGGAAATATTTCATATGACTGGCTCAGAGGCAGATAGGTTGCTTTATCGCAACTTAAGGAAAACCTACAAACAGAAAATTAAAGATGCTAAATTTAATCACAATGTTAATGTAATAGAAAGTTCCAAAAACAAGTGCAAGGGGGCCTGGTCGGTTATTAAAAGTTTCAAAGATTCTAGTCCTTGCTGTGATATACCTATTAGTCCTGACACTTTGAATAGTTATTTTGTTGATTCTGTAAATGTAATAAGATCTGGTATAGTTAAGCCTAACACTGTTTCTGATAGCTATTTATTTAATGTGCCTCGTGCAACTCAAGCATTTTATTTCCAACCTGTGAATGAAGTAGATGTAAAAAAGGTCATATGTAACTTAAAGAATTCCAAAGCATTAGACTTCTACGGAATGTCAAATTTTGTCATTAAAAGTGTTGGTGATATTATAGCGACACCACTGGTCACTGCCACTAACCTTTGTTTTGAAGAAGGAACTTTTCCTGATTTATTAAAGATTTCTAAAATAACTCCAATCCATAAGAAGGGTGACAAGAAAAACCCTGCAAATTATAGGCCAGTCTCGTTTGTTCCTGCCCTGTCAAAGGTGTTAGAAAACATCATTTTTCGTCAGGTAAGTGACCATTTTGAGGCTTTGGGCCTTCTTTCTGAATCACAATTCGGCTTTAGGAGGTTGCGCAGCACCACCGACGCTGTTGGGGCGTTGATTGCTAAAATACATGATGTTCTTGAGGGCGGAGGCTTTGCTTGGGTCACCTTCTGCGACCTTAGCAAGGCCTTCGATTGCGTCGACCATCGGATGCTTTTGGGCAAGATACAGCACTACGGAGTCGGTGGGGCTGCCCTTAACCTATTAAATTCTTACTTAAGCAACCGAAGACAAGTGGTTTGTATCAAGGGCGAGCGGTCAGCTATGTCTAATGTAGTTTGCGGAGTCCCGCAAGGGTCCATACTTGGGCCGTTTCTATTTTTAGTATCGATAAATGATTTGCCTAATAATGTTCTCTGTGATACCTATTTATATGCTGATGACTCGACCTTTCTTGTGCATGGTTCTGATATAGATTTATTAAGTTTGCATGTTAAAGATGTAGTTGGTAACATTTCAGACTGGTTTGCAGCAAACTCTTTTCTCTTAAACAACGAAAAAACAAAATCTGTCATATTTAGCTTAAGAAAAGTACCTGATGTTTTTGATTCACAAGATTATGTTAAGTTTTTGGGTGTTTTGATTGATAAACAGTTAACCTGGTCACAGCAGATTGATCAACTAACAAATAGGCTTTCAAGAATTGTTTTCTTGTTCTCTAGATTAGTGCACTATGTTCCTTTTGATTATGTAAAATCTGCTTATTTTGTGTTATTTCAGTCAATTGCTTCATATGGTTTAATTTATTATGGTAGCTCTCCTAAAATCCACGAGGTACTTCTATCTCAGAAAAAAATCATCAGAATAATGTGTAAAGAGGATAGTGAAGCACACTGTAAACCCCTTTTTATTGAATTAAAAATATTGACCATCATTAACTTATACATTTATCAATTATTATTGTTTACTTTTAAGAATAGCTTTAAATACAAAATGAGAAATGAAGTGCACAGTATTAGTACCAGAAACTGCAAAAAGATTGATCTGCCTCAGGTACGGTTGGAAAAAACAAGATCTGGACATGTTGTGATGGGTATCAGGCTATTAAATAAATTACCTCTGGCTGTGACAGATTTAGACTTTAAGGGGCGGTTTGGGAGCTCGGTATTAGCGCTAGTGCGCGACTAAATCCGGATATTTCCGGTATTTTAGGCTGCCGCCTCGAAAACGGGTTTGTGAGCTCGGGATCAGTAAGGCGCGCGCCTAACTTGTGCTGGGATAATCTCGCGCCTAAATATTGTTGGTTTGGGAGTCAAGTAGACTTAGACGCCAGCCTAAGAGATAGTCTCGGTGGGTTTGGGAGACCAATTTCGGGACTAAGATATATGTTTTCGTCATAAAAATCAGTGAGTTTAGTCCCCAACTTTAGTCCTGCCAGGGGGCAGGTCTAAGTCGACATCATGCCGGTATTAGCTCATTAGAAAGTTAATTGTTTACATATTAAGTAAAAGAATGTTATATTGGAATTCGTTATTAAATTCCGAACAATGTCATTACCCTCAAAGTATATTTGATAAAAGTTTTTTTTTTAGGTTTCTGTTGTTCAAAATAAAGGAAAAAATCATGCGGGAAGTAATTTAACGAAATATTATTTTGTTTTTGTTTTTACTGTTAACTACAATAAAAATATGGAGCCTGAATAGAATTTATTTCAACTGAGAGTTTGGTTATAAGTACCCGTACATTAATTATAAATATTTTATTAGCTAGGAAAAAATTAGCAACCACATACATACCCCCCCCCCACTCACCCCTTACGAAAAAGTGAAGAGATAATAAACAAAACATAAAAAACTGCAAATAGCTCACAGTCATAATCATTTTCTTTTTCTCTATTGCGTTGTGATTGAGCTCAGTTCAGTGTCATTGACAAGTGCTAGTTACATCAAAATGTAGTACAGTACCTAGATTATTTGGAGTATAAGAAAATATATACAGTAAATCAATAATCCCGCCACAGAAAACCTACAGACTAAGCGAATATCCAATAACCTAATAGGACTTTCAATTAAATTTATTTAAATAGCTTTAGGTTTAACAAGTAACTAAAACTACTTACGTGTAGGTATGCTACTACAGGGAGGGCAATAATGTGTGTTTTTTTACCAAAATATTAACATCTTTATATAAAATAAATAAATTTGCCAGGATTCATCAAAATATATCCATAAACTACAAAACTACAACAGTTAACGTATTCTC